TTTATTACAACTGCTGCTGTTTGGACACTTACCTGACATATCTTTTCCCATATTTCGTCACAACCTGCCTTTTCCTGAAAACTCAAGGCCAGATCAAAGTTGTCGCCTTCGGACCAGACAATCAAGGTGTCCTGCTGCTTCTGATACGCGGTGTCCGGTTGTATCTTGCTCTCCAAAAGCAGGGATCCATCGGATTCGGCCCGCACTAGAAGCGAAATGCCTGAAAGTAGTTAAAGGTTGCGAAAACTTAGACCAGGCTCCAGGGCTTGGTTGAAGTGTAAACCCACCTTTTAACCTGTCCACGTAGGTGGAGGACACGTGGCCCGTTCCACGATCATCCCACTGGCGCTCCGCATTGAGCGCATACAACTTGACGCGTCGTCGGGTGTCGGTCGTCATGATGGTGTGCCCCTTAGGATTTTCTCGCTGGTGTCCTTCGGATTCGGTTGAGTTTCGATCTGGACTATAAACGCGAGTGCTTGCGGCTTGAAACCGTTCCTCTGGCTAGGGGCTATATGCTAGGCTATGCTACTTTGCTAATTTAAATTAGGATCTTGAATTTAGAATTCAAAGGATTCGTCTAATCTCTATGCTTGACTTCTATATCCATGTTAGGCTACCACTCCAGCGCAAAGTGTGGACTAATGGGATTGGGATGTGCCCACGACAAGACTGCACTGCAAGAAAACAATACAGATAAAGTTAAAATATATTTCAATATGTTTAAATAAATATTTATAAACATAAACCAACTTTTTCAGCATTCTCTTCTATGACTAAAGCGTGTCATACACTTTATTTTCTACTTAATAAATATATTTTAAATGACAATAAACCCTAAGTGTACCTTTTTCACAATAGATATTTGACGATAAATGTGTTCTGATTTGTAAGAAATACAAACAGCCTTTAGAATAAAAACATAAGAAGTTAAACTATCTTTCATTTACTGTATTGACCTAATTTTTACAAAATAAAAATAGAAATAAAACAATAGTTATTTTAGTTTAACAATAAAACACAAATTTCACCTTTAATACACCTACATTATAAAATTGAGGTTAGGATTTTAAATGCATCTTATATCTTATTGGCAACAATTCATGGGCCATTTCGCGATGAATGAAAATGTGAAAGCTACGTTCGTAGTGTGTGTTTGGGGAGAAAGATTGTAGGGAGAGAAGACGAGTAAAGACCTTTTAGACTGAGATGCGAAATGCAAAAAAAAAATAAAAGAAATGTGCTTTGCCCGGTCTGTTTACAAACATTAAGCGTTTCCATTAGATCTAGGCCTTTCGCAGTGTGCCTGTGTATCTGTGGGGTTTACGGTATGAGTGGGGTATACTATATATGGGGTATACTATTATCGCTGCGCTTTCGCCCCATGGCAAGTGCAAACACGCGCGCGGAGAAAATAAACAGTGGCGAGAGTGGATGAGCGGGAGAATCAAAGAGTGGGAGTTTGGGGAGCAAGCAAACTATCCTCTCCCTCGCACAGAAAAAAAATCAGCTCTATATCTAATCGAAGTTAGGAGGTCAAATAAATATTTACTTTTATTCATATTACTTCAACAGGTTACACCTACATGCCCTTTTATCTTTTGTATGTGCTTTTTAAGGTATAACCTTTTAAAATAGGTTCTTTAAAATTAACCTTTTGTTTTAGTTTTTTTTTTTAATTTAACCGAAAAATTATATGAAGATTTTAAATTATAAACTGAAGTTCGGGAACTATTCGAAAGGAAGGTATTATTTTCATGTACATTTTTTGCCGTGCTAGGCGAAACCAATAGACATGTGTAAAATAATGTGCGAGTAAACAGAAGAAGCAAGAGCTACGTCATCGTTGCAGAGCGCCACCTCAAAGTTGGCTGGCCACCGCAAACATTTACGTCACCTCAGATCGACAGCGAAAATTCACACACACCCCCACCATCAGAACTACCCACCCAAGGTTGGAAGACGTTGAGAAAATGCGTGCTTCGTTAATTCAACACGATTTGCACAGTGATTGAGATCCCAGAAACGAAATACTATACTATACTATACTACCCCATACTAGTTCCAATAAAGCGACCCAAAGGCCAATTCCGCACTGATAACAACCGGAGAATCGAGAGAGAGATTTTCGTAGGCCCAAGAATCGGTACCAAAACAAAAGCAGCAATTCAAAACAAACGTCGCGAGCTGTTTACGCAATCAGCTGCGAACAACGAGAGAATGCTCATGTCTGAAGCGGTAGAGATTTTGGTTATTATTAATGTTTATTAATATAACCAGCAGAAGGTTGCCAAAGTGCCGGGATAAAAAATGCAAAAAAAAGGGCCCTGGAGTGTTCAATAAAGACCGACAAAATATGACAACTTGGCACTATTTTTCGCCTCAGCAACAATTATATTTTGTTGGAGAGTAAGTGAGAGATACAGGTATGATCAAGATAACGGCCTTCTCAATTCCGTTCTCTATTAAATTACACGCCAATTCTAAATCTCATGACAACGGTTAAGTTTAAACCTTTTTTAAACTGGGATTTAAAAAACATTGTGGGTTTATTTACAAACAAACCAATTTGATATGTTGAATTGTAATTAATTTTTTAAATGAAAATTTTTACATAATCAAATCAGGAAGCAGGAATTTGTCCGTAGGAATAATAACATCTTGATAATTAAGAGCACCCATGTTTGAAAAAAAACACTTTATTTGATTAAATTTAAAACCAATTAGGTAAAAATCCAATACATTGTGAATAAGTACGTCGTTATTTTCGAAAAACTATTTAAGCGGTATTACTTAAACTGAAAAAATGTTTGTGCCCTAAGAGTTTATTTTATTTTTAAGATTTTTGGTTAATCAATACCGATTCCAATATTCGACCCGTAAAACTTTTTTTAATTTATAAAAATAAAGCTATGGATTTTTAAGCCGCAACTGTAAGTGCTCAATTTGAGTCTTGATGCTTTCTTCCTGTGCTTCACAAACACACGCGCGCGCGAAAGCTGCAAGTGTCCTGCGAAGGCGTAAAAAAGAAGCGAGCGAAACAGTGGGAAGGAAAACCCGAAGGATGCAGGACTTTATGGGAAAAATAGCGGTCAAAATTGGATTCCCTTTCGTTATCTTTTTGCTCTTTTTTCTCTCGCAATGAATAATGGAGGGTCAGAAAGAGAGGGGAGAGAGAGAAAGGGGGGAGCAGGAGTCTGACGATTACGAACGCGTCGTATCTTGTTTTTGCATGCATGACAATGTGTGCAGAATACGCGCGCGCTCACACCAACACACTCGAACAAACCGAAGGCGTGTGTGCATGTATGCAACTTTTTGGGGTGGTATTGAAAAGCGGAAGGGGGTGGGGGCTAGGAATCGGGAGGAGAACTCGAAAATTTTACAATTATAAACACTCTCCGGTGCGAGTGCAATGTCAGCTAATTTCCTTAAATTTTTACTCATTTTTATTTTTTCGTCCAACAGTTGATGTATTTTCATACGCGATACACACACAATTGACACAGACACATAATGTCTGGCAAGTACATCGCTTTTTCGGCCGTTTCTTTTGCGGTTCATTCAATAAAATTATTGCGAATGGCAGGCGCAAAACAGAATCGCACAAATTGCAGCGTATTGTGGGGAAGAAGAAGAGGCGTGTGGTAAAGAAAAATGCCGTCTCCCCACCATACACACACACTCTAAGCACGCGCACACCCACACACTTCTGCCCGCCGTTGTTGTTGTTGCAAACAGATTTTTGTTTTGATTTGATAGTTTATCCATGTATATGTACATATAGCAATACCGCATATTCCCCGTTATTCGCAACCGATTTTGGATTTAATTAAAACGCACACAAGACGCAGGGAAAAGAAAAACAGACGACGGCAAACTCACCACGCTGCGCGAAACCCAACACACTACACACAGCGGAGAGCGGAGAAACTCAACTCGTCGTTCGTTTGCGTTGTTGCATAAAGTGCGATAAAAGGGGGCAGTATTCCTTAAGTCCAGATCGGGATCCAATATTGACTAAAGTCGGGATATATAGTCCTATATTCCTTTGCAAGGCCGTAAATCATCTGCGAAGTACGTGAGAGTACACAGTCGCAGTCAAACACACACACACACTCGCACGCAGACAACACAGAAGCCGCAAGAGGGCAAAAGAGAGAGAGAGCAGGAGAGCGGGAGAAAGAGAGCGCGGGCAATACCAAACTGAAAAAGTTATACACTCACGCTGCAATTCCTTGTTTCTGTTTTTCCGCTTTTAGTGCTTCGCACGCTGGCTGCATTCGTTCAGTTTATGTACAATTTACGCTTGCGCATATTTACTGGGGGGACCACGCGCTATTTTCGACAAATCTAACTGCCCGATAATTATGATTTTTGCTATTTTCCGCGGACCGACGCTAGAGCGTTTTTGGTCTGACCGAAACGAAACGAGACGACGAATTTGTGGACTGCGAGAGGGATTCGCCGCAGCGACGCCATGTTGTTTTTCGCCTGAATTCGCCTCAAAACAGTGTGCTATAACGTATGAATTTTGTATATTATGTGACCGTTTCACTGCTTAATACGGTCGCACTTGCGATCGAAAAAGTAGTTGCTTTGAAGATGGACATTAAAATTTATTTAATCAAATCAAAAGTTTTATGTCCATCAGCATAACTTTTAAATTTCTTTTTATATATTTTCAAACATTAATACAAATGTTGCTTAAAAGTCTATTTCAATATTAGTTGCATCTTCTTGTATTTTAATTATTGAATTCTTAAATCTTAACAAAAAATTCGTTTAGTTAATTTGAAATCTTTTACTTTCGCGGGCTGGAAATACACCACCGAAATTTTGGAAGGGTTTTAAGATTGCATAATTTTTGTTTGTTACGACGACTTTCCAGATTTTCAAATGTTTCAAGCGGGGAAAACTCTGAAAATTGTAAGTAAACTAATTTGAAATCAGTTCAGTGTGACCAATCGAATGGCCCTTTTTACGAGGCGTTTCGGTTTTCCGCGCAGAAAAAGCTGCGACCACACTGCCAGTCCTTTTGCTCACTTGGCCAACTTTTTAATCCGATGCCTAAAACGACAGAATGCTGCGCCAGAACCTGTTGGATCAGCTCAAGCACTTCATAGAGACGGTGAGCAATGGCCACAGTTGTCCCCAGCTGCTGACCAGCCCCAATCTCATCAAGCTCGCGTGAGTATCGGCCGGAATGGCTAAGTGTAAGCCCGGATCGTTGTAAACAAATCCCGGAATCTTTGCAGGCTAGGATTCCTGGAGGAGTTGCCAGCCACGCGGGACATAGTTTTCGAGTACTTTGCTTTGCTGGCCGAGATCAGTGTTCAGCTGTATGTGTCGCCGGAGATGGCGGACTCCAAGACCGGAATGCCGGTGTCCCAGGTGAAGCAGGCCGGGAATCGACAGCAGCAGCTGCGTGCTCCGGAATACGAGAGCTTCAATCTGGTCAAGACGGCGCTGCAGAGTTTGGTGTGGAAGGGTCCGCCGGCGTGGTCGCCTCTGATTGCCAACTGGAGCCTGGAGCTGGTGGCCAAGCTGTCCGATAAGTACACCCAACGACGGATGACCATAACGGCCAGCTGCAACTATTGGCTGGAATGCAGCGCCATGCACGGCCTGATGACCCTCATAAACAGCTGCTTCCGGAAGCTGACCCAACCGGAGGAGGAGGCGTGCGTGGAGATCATGCTGAACGCCTTCCACCGCTTCCCAATGACCTTCGATTGGATTGTTGCCAGGCTGGGCGGCTGCTTTCCCTACAAGATCATCATGCAGATTTTGCAATGCGGCATCAAGCGATTTGTCGAGGACTACCGCTGCCATCTGGACTCGGAGGCAGGCATCCTCGATTACATGACATCGTGCCACGAACAGCAGCTGAGGGCCGCCTTCCGTGAGATGCTCAGGGAGGGATTCGCGCCCAAGAAGCCGCTGGACGTGGCCGTCGTTCCCTTCCTGCTGATCACAACCAATTACTCGGACACGATTCTGCAGAGTTTGGTCAATGTGCTGGTCGAAATCTGTGAGTGGATGTTAGCTTAAAGGAAACCACATTTCTATCTGCTTATATTGAATTACATCAAGTTTTTAAACTATTGTGTTAATAATATTTTCTAACCTTTTAGGACAGAATAAGGCATTTATTCGATTTATATTTAAAAATCTGTCCTGGAGCATCGTTTTTAAATACTACTACAATACAATTTACACAAATTATCATAAATATTAATTTAATTAATATCTTTGCAGATTCCGAGGACATGTGCGAGGTCATTGTGCAGAAATCGCCTCTTTGGCTTAGCAACAAGATGTTCGCCGGCATGCAGCCCACGCTAAACAATGCGGTTCTTAGGCTGAACGAGCATGGAGCTACACTGCTGCTAACGGCAGCCAAAATGGCCGAGAAATACGTTTGGTGTCAGGACTTCCTGGACAACTCCATGCAGGAGCTGGAACAGTGGGTGCTCAACCAGAGGAACTTCCCGCTGTTGGCAGATCTTGCATATGAGGAAACCAAGTACATGCTGTGGAAAAGCTGCCTTAGCACTAATCTCTTCGAGCAGCAAACGGCCGTGCGGTTGCTGCTGGTGGTCTGTAAGTTTAACCTTTTTTATATTTTTATGAAATGCTTTATTCCTTTTTTTAATGCTATGATCTATAATATACAATTCTAGCATTTACTTATTATGGAAAAACAGGAATTAAAAATAATATTACGTTTTGTATTTCCTTTTTAGCCTCTCAGCATCCACATATTTACTACCAAACTGTATCCCAGCTTCTAAAAAAGTCGTACGCACAAAATCCCAATGGCATTGGCGCCCTCATTCGTCTGCTGGGTGGACAAAGCGGAATGGTGAACTTTCCTGGATTCACGCCCGGCTTTAAAATGGTGTTGGAGGACATCACGCTACATGTTCAGGTTAATAATCGCTTGCCAGTGCCGCCGGGCACGCCCTCAGAAGCGTTTAACACTTTCTCCAACCTCAACATACTGGCAAGGTGAGAAATATTATCCTTTGGAAAATTACCATTTACGTTTCTTTTAAACAATCGCCTCCAGGATGCACAAAAGTAAAAATGTGGCCCCCTACATCAAAGCTCAGCATTTAAACCAAGCCCTCAACGAGTGCCTGCCCAAAATAATCCAAATCTTTGACTGTACCGTGAACAAATTGGTTCTAAAGATGGATAAAGATGCAGCTGAGCGCAGTGCGGAGAAATTTAGGGCGCAGCAAAGCAACAATAACAATAACAGCGACATGTGCAATGGCAAGGACTACGGAAAGCGACCAAAACTAGAGCCGGGTGAGGAAAAGCTGGAGGAAGAGGACGTCACGCGTATGCGATTGGCCCACCTAATTGTGGATCTGTTGAACAACATAGATGTCGGAAGCCGTACCAATGTCTTGCGTACTCCGCAGGTCCTAAAGCTAGCCGTGCTTAGCGTCAAATACTTCTTCGTGGGCTTAACCGAGCAGAGTAAGTTCATGATGCTTTAAAATTTTCCTTTTCTTTTAACCTCCTTATAAAATAAACTTTGTTGCAGCTGTGATTCGTCGAGCGGCTGCCTCACATCGATCATTTTCCCTGCTGCAGCGCCAGTGCTCCGCCCGGAAGATTGCTAGAACTGTTTGCCTGCGCGAATTAGTAGAAGGCGCTCTATTCTACCATGGCCATCTGCTCGGCCAGCTAGAGGAATATGAACTGGATGAGCTACAAATCCCTGAGCACGAGCTACTCATCCTGCAGAATCTACACACTAGTTCTGGCGCCAACTCGAATCGCTCCGTACTGCATTCCGGGATTATTGGGCGTGGTCTGCGACCCGTACTGCCCACAAATGACAGAAACTGCGATGCGGAGAAGCAGGCGTTGTATTTAAAGGCATTAAATGCCTGCTGCGCCGACCTGGAGAAGCCAAATAACGTGGAGGGCTACTCCCTGGTCTCGCTGCTGCTGGTCGAGCTGGTCTCCACGGATGTCATGTACAACGGGCTGCCCTTTCCGGACGAGGAGTTCACCAGGGTCACAATGGAGCGGGACATGCAGATTAGAAGAGCGTTTATCACCTCCCCCGTGCTCTGGGCAGTTTTGGGACTGATTGCTGGTCATAGGCCGGCTCTTTGCTACTCCTCCGTTCTTCTGCGCGCACTCTGCGCTACCTGTTTGCATCACTGGCGGGGAAAGAATGGTGAGCTTAAATGTTTATGCAGTTTCCAACAACTTCAATTAAACAATATGTTTTTCCTTTTTTAGTCAATAGATTCCAGGCCACGGCTGCCAACGATGAGCTGATGCTCTGTACCAAGAAAATGCTGCAACTGCTGGCTATGAGCCAACTGATTCCGCCGCCACTTACCAATCTGCATCTCATTATCGAGCACTTCGAATCGGCAGAGGTATGCTATTTATTTATAATGTTGGGTCCGATTGTATAGATCAGTCGCATTATAGCATTTTAACTGCTAGACTAGTCCATAATCTATGTTTGCAACCTGATTAACCAATTCTTTACTATTTCCAGATCGCCCTTCTGCTGCGCGAGTGTATCTGGAACTATCTTAAAGACCACGTGCCCTCGCCGGCGCTCTTCCACGTGGACAACAACGGGCTGCACTGGCGCAACACGAACACGCAATTGGCCAAGGTGCCGCCGCAGTATGTGGACACGCTGCGCCACCTGATGCAGCGGAAGCTTGCCACCTTGGGGCCCCACTACCATCAGATGTTCATCATGGGCGAGCTGATGGAGGGGAACTCCGAGCCTGATCCCACGGCGCGGCTGCAGATAGTGGAACTAGATTAAGCACCCGTAGTTAGCTAGCGTAATGTTGTGTAAGCATGAGCGTGTGTGGATGAAATGAACAGTCTGGATTGTTGAGTGTGGAATGTGTGAACTAAATGCAGTGTTTGTATTTTGATCTTCAATGTGTTCTTTTATTTTCTTTTCATTGGTTTGTAAAAATTAAAATCTCAACCTAGGCCTTGCAAATACTGTCCAGCAGTTATTGTACCGATGGCGCCTGAAAATCGCATCATTTGTGTTTGTAGTTTTAGAATATAACGAAGCCAACAACAATTTCACTTGAACATCTTTTTTATGTGTGCGAACCGATGGGCACCATCTCCTCCAGCAATCCTCTGCTGCCTTCAGTACATCATTTATATTAACGACTAATTACGCTTTCAATTGTTTCATATAATACACAGTATTGTCACATGGATATATAGCTTTTGTGTCGCCCGATCAATTTCCCTTCCCAAAAAACGGCTAGCATCAGCTAACTTGGAGTTTTTGTTGATGCTGCAGCTGCTACTCGGGCGTCCAGGGTGATCCTGGCATTCCTACATGGTTTTATGGTTACAAATACTTGGCGAATGTAGGAAAACAAAAACGGGAAAACAAAACCAAAAAGTTCCTCACAATTTGTTAACAAAGTTATTCCTTTCAATTAATCTTAGCTTCTAAGTTTAGTGGCGACAATAATTGCGCCTACGAAGTCCGGCAGTGGCTCAGTTTGCGTACGGAGATGCAAGACGTCAGCTTCTTGGCGCGGCGCTTCAGCGCCGACCCCTTCTTCTTGACCGGCGCCTCCTCCCTGCTGCCGTTGCCCAGTGAATTTCCGGAGGCGGCTGCGGCGGCAGCACTTGTGGAAGGCGGCTCGTAGGCGTGGCAGGCAGCTTGTGCCGCCGCCGACTTGGCCCGGATCTCGGATGCCGCAGCCTGCGCTCGCCGGGCGAGCTGCTCTGTAAGGAAAAGGATTAATGGTTAATAAAAATACATTGCTGTGGTAGCATTAAAGTGGGTCGATTTAAATATATTGGTTCTAAGTTACTAAAATACATTTGTCCACCAATTATACTAAACTAATAGTTTGAAGACCACTATATAATTTAGAATCTTATTTAATTTATGAAACGTAGGTCTTTTTAAGAATTATTGCAGGTTGAACCCCACTGAAGAAATTAAACTTCTCCCAATCTCACGGAGATAAATGATACTGCCTTTTACAAACCGACGCACTCTCTTGGAACAACTGGTGCGTTTTGTACTCACGGTTTACATCGTGCTCGGTGAAGTAGACATCCTCCTGATCTTGATCGCCGTAGTGGTAAGCTTCCAGGTAAGGTATCACTGTGGAGCTACGGTATTTGTCGCCCTTCAGCGGGGGAATGGGTATCGGTGGGCCGGTCACCGGCGGGGCGGATCTGAACCAACTACGAAGCATAAATTCAATTTCAGCAATCGGTAAGTCTCCAAAGGGATCGCAACTCACGTGTCGTGGCGAATCTCCTGTAGGGACAGGCGTTTGTTGGGATCAGCCTGCAGCATGCCTAAAATTAACTTGGCGAAGTCTGGGTCCAGCTCATAGAGCCACTCGGGAGCCTCCCACTGGCCTCGCCCGATATTCTCTAGTAGCCGGTAGATGTTGTCTCCCTCAAAGGGATACTGTCCAGTAGCCAGGTTGTAACTGCAAGATAAGTAAAATAAATTAGGAGGGAAAATATAAGGATTAATATTGGAAACTAAATTGGCATTTCGTCATAGCAAACTAAATAGAAACACATTCTTTTAACGGTTTTTATTTCAATTACGTTTTAAAATATAATAATAAATTAAAAATATTTCTGGTCCAAGTTAAACTGGAATATTAAATATTTGTGAAAGCAAGAACATCCTTGAAAATGTTTCATTGTTTTACAAACTTTACCAAAACGTAGTGTTTTTAATGATATAAATTTGTATGTGTAGAAACCAATAATCACTTGATATTCTTATTTTAATAAATGACGATATTTGAATGGTTAAGACTAAGTCTTGAAAAATAATTAATTCTGATCTTAAAATATAGTTTTTATATATGCGGACAGTTATAAAACTGTAAAAGAAATGTAAAAATATTTTTAAAAAGCAGATAGGATTGTTCTCATACAAACAAGGAATTATTTATACATATTATCCTAAGACCCAGAATTAAAGCAAAGCAAGAACATATCAGTCGGCTTACAGTGTCACTCCGCTACTCCAAATGTCCACCTTGTAGCCGGCGAAGGTCTCGTGTCCGTTAGCGATTTCCGGTGGCTGGAAAGCCGGAGATCCCTGGCCCGTTGTGCACGTGTCGTCTGGCGAAAACAGATCCAGTTGCTCGGCCACCCCGAAATCGGATATCTTGAGCGTCTGATCGAGCGAGAGCAGCAGGTTGCCCGGCTTGATGTCCTTGTGGATGACCCGGCAGCTGTGTAGGTACTCCAGCCCGTCGACCAGCTGCTGAAAGTAACCGTGAGCCTGGAACAACGGCATTCGCTTGTCCGGCTGGTAATCCACCATCTCCTGCAGCCCGCCGACGCAGTACTCCATCACCAGGTACATCTTCTGCTTCTCATCGTTGTACAGCACGTCCACCAGTTCCACCACATTCGTGTGTTTCAGCTGCTTCAGCAGGGCGATCTCACGGGTGACATTCTGTTCGCCATTGGGGATCCTGCGCAGCTTGCGCTTGGTCAGGATCTTGACGGCCAGTCGGCAGAGGTTCTCCGAGTTCATAGCCTCCTTCACCTTGCCGTAGGAGCCTTCGCCGAGGACATCGCCCATGATGTACTTGCCCACCATCTTGATGATCTTCTTTTTCTGCTGGTATATGATATCCTGGCTGTCGACGCGATTGAAGAACATGTTGCCCATGTCCAGTGTGACGCGATCCAGCGTCTCGATCTCGTCGTCGTCCAGCCAGGTGACCTGCGGATGCGGCTGCTCCTCAAACAGCAGTTCATCAGGGTTGTAAAAGGAAGCGCCCGTGGGTTGCGAGTCCTCCTTGAGTTCCACAAAGGCTTCGTCGCCCAGCTCAGAGGCGGTGTCATAGTGATAGTTCTTGTTGGCCACCAGTACGGTCATCTCGTCCTCGACGGGATCCTCCTCCTCCTGCTTTTGCTGGGCTCCTCCGCCGTCGAGGTGATGGTGATGATGATGTGCTGCCTTGACCTGTGCCTCCATGGTGGTCACAGTCATCTGGACAGTCTCTTCCTGGCTCTTCCCGGTCCGGCTGCTTCTCTTTCTCCGCGTCGAGAGCTAGAACATTGCATAAACCTCCGGAGAGCCCCACTGATCACATATCGCAGGTGGGCCCCACTCCGTTGGATTGGTGGTAATGGAGCTGCCTTGGGACTCGGAATGGAAGGTTACCTATCCGGACACCCAATCCTCGCCAGGCACACACGCTTTATCGCTCACCTCTCGAAATACCTTTATTTTTGTAATCAATTCGCACAAACACACTTGAATTGATTGCCCTGCGATTTTTCGAGGTCTCGTCGTCGTCCGTAGTTTTGCGCGAAGTCCCCTGAAATTCCCTTCCCCCTTTGGCCACCACTTTTGCTCGATTTTTCATATAAATTTGTTAATTCCTGTGTTTACTTTTGCCGTTCAATTTGTTCTTTTCCCCTTCCGAAAATTGTTTAACAATTATTTGGTGGTCAAATTTAGTTTTACGCAATAGGGTCACACTGGCCAAAGGCAACCAGGGCTGCAAAGCACACCCGATTGTTGTTGTTTTTGGCGAGACGAGGCGAAAGAAGTAAATATAACAAATTATATTTTAAAAAACCACTGGAATATTAAACGACGGGAAAGTCATGGACACAGGGATCACCACCAAGGAGCGACTGGAGCGTTTAATGGCCGCGAAGAAGCAACTGGAGGGACAGATCAGCAAAAACGGACAGATCCTGGCCGCCGTAAGTAAAGTCGCGCATTCATCATCATACCCTTTATTTTGGATAGGATGTATTACCTTCGACATGCAGTTTGCACCACGGCAAACACTTTTCTCAAATCACACTGTTTACAAACACCCTTGCTCAGCTGTTCTTACGGTATCAACGAAATGTAGCGCACTCATCACAATACACTTTACTTTAGTTAAAGTATATCCACTTTGGGAAGCAGGAGCCTACTCAATTCCTAAAGAATTATGAGACTCCCGACTACTCAATTCCCTCGATAGGCTATTCTCATAGGATCAGAGGAAATTAGCCGAATTAGTAACACTACTTACACAAATCGTAAACAAAATTCAGTCTCAATTAGCGTGCTTCTCCCTTTCCAGAACGACAATGTGGGCATGACCGGTTCGCTGGTGGATTTGGAGGGCTTTCCTCGTAACGACATCGACATTTACCAGGTGCGCCAGGCTCGCCAAACGATCATCTGCCTGCAAAATGACCACAAGGAGTTGATGAACCAGATCCAGAGCCTGCTTAACCAATATCACAGTGAGATCGCCACCACTGATCCCGAGCTGGTAAATCGCGCTTCCGCTTTGGATTTGGATAGCGACCGATCACAAGGAGGAGCTAATCTAGCTGATCTTGCACCTGCTCGCGCCATCGTTGTGGTCAACCTAGTCAGTCCCGATTCCCCCGCCGAGAAAGCTGTGAGTGGAAATAGAACATTTACCAAGTAAAGCATATATTAACTCTATTTAATTTTCCATTTCAGGGACTTTGTGTGGGTGATGCCATCCTCCGTTTCGGTTCAGTCAATAGCAACAATTTTAAGGGAGATCTCGGTCAGATTGGCGAGGTGGTGCGAAACATGCAGAACCAGAATGTACAACTCAAAGTGAAGCGCGCAGAGCAGCAGCTGGATTTGATCCTGGTCCCAAAAACTTGGAGTGGACGCGGCCTTCTCGGCTGCAACATCGTCCTGCCTCCGGAGGCCATGGAGCACTGATTTAGTTACCCCTTAAGCTTTGACGGAATTGCCAGTGTACATTTGGTCTGCATTTAATTAACGGCTCATGGCCAGGCCACCAAACATGTTTGCTCTAAATTGTTACAATTGATTTTTGGATTGGTAGCCTGGTTTTAGACGGGTTCACAGGCCAATTTAGGTGGAGTCATCTCGGTGATTGACAGCCAGGTCACTGTGCCAAGGAACAACACTCCGTTGGCCCAAGGTAGGTGAAGCATTACGACACATAAAGGGTACTAATTATAATTCAGGGGAAGATGAGTAATGGCTAGAGTTTTAGTAAGTTATCAGTTCTTTCGAATTAATATGTAAAAAAAACGAACGCTTAACCATTCAAAAATAAATAATTTGTGTCTAACAATGTGGTACAACTCCTATTTGAGAGACTTTTAGTCTTTTTTTTGTTCTTTTAATTTGTTTAATTTTTTGTTGCAGTTTAGCGATTAAAGATTTAAAAAAGGATCAAAGGATCTTCCTTATATACAATTTTTGGTTTTTGTGGTAATGATAAAAAGTTAGACAAATATAAGTACATTTTTTGAGACTAAAATTAAGAAACTAATATGGTATCTTTAATTAAGTGCCTGGTATTTATTTTATTTTCAAATTAAAATTCAACTGCCGAAAAAGAGAATCAAAGCTTCAAAGCTACATAGTTATAAAGAGAGAGAACGAAAAACCAAGAGAATTTAAAAACGATACGGTTATATGAATCCTGTCTCCGAAATTGGTAAACAGCCAAGCTTTCCACCAATTCTTGACCATGGCGTTTAGTCTGCGCACAATGCCCTTAAAACTGTGTTTTCCTAAATTGAAATAATTGTTTAACATATTCGAATTTTCTGAAGAAAACTGTTATTTTAAAAATGAAACTTTCTAACTAAAAGTTTTTATCATTTAAAAAACTATTTACGACAGAAAAATAATTTTTATTTAAATACATATGTGTTTTATATGGTAAAAAGTTGTTAGTTTTTCAAAAACAAGAATCATAATTATAATCATAAGGAAGTTGTACAAAAAAAGTAAGTATATTAATATTTTGCTTTAGATCTTAAATATGTATATTTTATGCCGATAAATTAACGACTTTACTCCAGCTCAGACTTAAACCTTAAATTCCTGCAGGATTCGCACAACCGGCAAGGTAACATCTGCAGAGAGATTTAACAGTGAGAGAGATTTTTCGCGAGCAGAGAGAAATTGGCAGCATGAGCTTTCGCCCGAAAATCTATTTAAGCCACACGCAACGTTAAAGTTTTAAAATCCTTTTCGACCGCGCCGCAGCATCCGTTTGCAATTAGAAAAACAGTTTAAATTAAAATCATTAAAAAACGTGTCGATGGTTTCTGGTGAAAAACGATTTATAATTTTTACCTAGAATATCCTTCACAACCCTGCCAGCAGCCGAGTGTTTTGTGCGCCGGAGCAAAGCTTCCTTGAACCGTCGCGTCGAGTCGAGAGCATTACGGATGCGAATCCGAGTGGCGACAAAAGTGGGCACCCAGCGGAGCCAAATTACGGTAGTGAAAAAATTGTGGGGTGCCGCTGAATTTTGTGCAATTATAGTTGACGAATCAAAGGATCTGTTGTGCGGCTACTGAAAATTGAGACCCATCCAGTTTCGTCCTGTTCAGCGGAAACGATGTGTATGTGTGTGGGCTTTACATAATGTAACAATTCAAATGTGAGGAATCTTGCTCTCCATCGTCCTTTTTTTCGCGAAGGATAAGGCAGCTTGGCGGTGGGGCGGGGGGGATTCTCTTGATAGTGTCACTGTCATTGCCAGTGCATGGGAATTGTGGAGGAATCTGGAGAGGATGGGCAAAGGGCAAAGGAAAGCTGCGCGAAATAGCACAACAAACAAGAAGCACGGGCAAGGAAACTAACAAAAAAGTTAACTAAGGGCGGGCATCCTTTTCGTGCGAGTGTGTGTGCTTGTGTGTGTGAGGGGAAAGGAAAACCAACCCCCACAATCCGCACCGAAGGACCAACAAATTAAAAAAAAAGCCTGTGTCTGCTCCGCTTTTTGTATGTGTGCGTGTGAGTGTGTGCGTACACTTCAACGCGCTTTGAACCTCTCTCACACATAAGCAGAGATATAGACACTCACACACTTGAATAATTCAGGACACTGCATTGTTCATCAATAAATTGCCATTAGATGGCCAAACACACACAAGAAGAGCTTTCATTTTTCACCGTCTCATTATCCCGCGTGATAACTGAATTATTCAGCTATTACTGCTGAGATTTTGCAGCTTCACACGTTGCCGAAATGCCAGTTTCGCCAGTGTGTCCACAAATCCTTACGCTCATTGGCGAAGGACACATGCAAATGAAAAATTCATTTGCATGTTTGTGTGGTGTGCGAGTGTGTGAGTAAGGTGAGATGAAGTGTACACACAGCGGCGGTGAAAATAATAGCACAAAAATGCAATTAGCATCAGAAAATTTAAGGGGTTTTAAATTACCTATTAGGACATGCAACGATGTATTTTGAATCTATTAGTCCGGATGTTAATTTATTGCAGAATATTTTCACAGTTCTGTTGAACTGATTGCACATCATTAAAGATTTATTTTACGTATTTTTGAAATCTCAGTTGCATCTAAGAAAGGTTCCTCCGATCGCAATTTCGAAATAGAAAAGTAATAACCTTTTTTTCTAAGAAACTTTTAAAATTGGCCATGATTTTAAAAATCAATATAAAAACAAATAAATTACAAAAAATTTAAATGCCTTTTAGTTTGCTTTAATTCGCATTCACATCTATCCGAATTTCGGTTATTATCTAAAACAATATTTATTCACGTATGACCAAGTTTTTACATTTTTTGAAACTAAAACAAGTAGTATTTCCTATTTATTTGTAAAATCAAAGTAATATTGATATTTCATTTATATAAAATAATGTTTATATTTTCATAAGTCCTATGATTTCAACCACAACTTTTTGCATAAGTTAATGTGAGTGAGTGCGTAGTGGGGCCTGGTATTGATGATGACAGATTAGTTGCAGGCGTTATTTTTAGCCCGGCCATAAAACCTAATTCAAGCCATTCCACGCAGGAAGGACACGGCGGCAGAAACTACAGCGCGATGGCGCCCGTCACCCGCAGCAGCAGTGGCACAATAATCATCCTTGAGAGCACCGCCGCCCGATGAAGGATTGCAGCATGGCCCGCACATGCACATGCACATGCACATTCTCGTTTACGTTCACAGGCACTGGCAGCATAAATAACGCAAGGACATGGACGGCGCAACGAACGCGACGAGGACAAAGGCCCACGGCCTGTGACAGAAATAAACGCCACCACCTTCTCGCCAAAAGCTAACCGACTAAAACGTAGACCCGAGAGTCCCCTTCCACCATCCAAAACACACCCCGAGTGATATTATTTTTAATGCAATCAAAGTGCTAAGTGAGTTTGCCAAAAAAGCAGAGAGACTACTAAACTAGAGCAAAGCGAGAGTGAGATTCCTCGTTGTCCTCGTCGTCGTCGTCAGGTCTTAACCCAATTTGGGAAGTTTGTTCTTTGTGAGCGACTCGCAGACCCAGACCACAGAAAGGACGAGCAGGACGAAGCAGAATAACCCATATGGACGGCGGCAGGTGCAGCCCGGTTAGCCAGGTGAGCAGCCAGGAAAAGCCCTGCAAACTGTACCGCAAAAGGAGGCGACGCCACTGAACCAACGATCAACCACCCAATACTCGCCTAAATGAAGAATGAAGAAACAAAATGTGCGCACGATATCCTTGATCGTGTGTACATTTACCTACTTGCTTGTCGGCGCCGCCGTCTTTGACGCCCTCGAATCGGAAACGGAAAAGCGTCGTTGGGAGGCGCTGCAAGGTGAGTGCAAAGCGCAATTACATCCTTACAGGTACACTAGAAAAAAACGAAGTTTTAAAAACTTAAAGTGCTAGCATGAAATATTTAATAACAGCATAAATATCGGGGTATGCTTCAATATCATATCTAGAATTGAACTCATTTTAAAGAGTTTCAAAAAGTGTGCTGTCGGCTTTTATCTAAAGGACATTCGGACTTTAAAATAAATTTTAAAGCAAGGTTTTTATACCTAGTTCTGTTAAATAATATACCTATTCGTAAAATACAATATAATATAATCCAATAATTTCAATTTTTAAACGGAAAGTTATGTTAAATTCTACGAAGTGACTTCGAATTTGAAATAAATATGTATTTTTCTTTAAATTGTTGAAAGCTTCTTATAAAGATTTATTTCAAAAAACACCCTCATTTGTTTAAGTGCATTATTGCATTTAGCTGAAGAAAATGACGACCATTACCTGTCGTCGAGAGTCGTGTGTGAATTACGTCATAGACACTGTGGTCTTTCTTGCTACTAATTGCAGATGCCGAGGACATGATAATACGCAAATACAATATATCGCAGGAGGACTTCAAAGTCATGGAGACTGTGGTGCTCAAATCGGAATCGCACAAGGCCGGCCAGCAGTGGAAATTCACCGGTGCATTTTATTATGCAACCACGGTGCTAACCACCATAGGTGCGTTATCTAACCTTTAGTGGACTATATATATACTTACCTACTTATGATGATCCACCATTTTAGGCTACGGACATTCAACGCCCAGCACGGTGGGCGGAAAGCTCTTCACTATGTGCTACGCGATTGTGGGGATTCCCCTGGGCCTCGTTATGTTCCAGAGCATCGGAGAAAGAGTGAATAGACTGAGCAGGTGTGTTTGCTTGGTTGGAATTGCCACTATTAAAAGTCTCAAACACAATAAAGATATAAATATGTATATTAAACATATATAAACTATGTAAAGTAAAGAACATCGTATTTACCCCTACTGAATCTTGCAATTTTGTTCCACTTTGAAACGTATTTAAAAAAGATTCTGACACTATTACAATTTATTGTTAAATTTAAGAACTAAAGACATTACCAGACCATTCTTTATATCCCTTATTTATTTATTTTCTTGCCTGCGGCTTATACTTTTTGTAATTCTAGCTTCTAGCTTTAAACTAATTACATTATTTTAAAACCTGATTCACAGCTATGTTATCAAAGCGGTCCGCTCCTCGCTGCGCTGCAAAAGGACTGTCGCCTCGGAAGTGGACCTTATATGTGTTGTGACCACACTCAGTTCGCTGACGATAGCCGGCGGTGCTGCGGCCTTTTCGAAATTTGAGGGCTGGAGCTACTTCGATTCAGTATATTACTGTTTTATTACTTTAACCACAATAGGTAAGGGATATGACACATTTACCATCCGATTTTGGGTATATGATATAGCTTTGTTATCCCCATTTTGACAGGCTTTGGCGACATGGTAGCCCTGCAGCGGGACAATGCACTGAACAGGAAGCCCGAATACGTGATGTTCGCACTGATATTTATACTATTCGGCCTGGCCATCGTGGCCGCCTCGCTGAACTTGTTAGTACTTAGGTTTGTTACAATGAATACCGAGGATGAGCGACGCGACGAGGCCCAGGCCATGCAGGTGAGATCAGAGCCCGGCGATGCGGGAGTAATTCGAGCAACTCATGCCATTTATTACCGTAGACTTGAGGACTGTTTTTCTGGATTTTATTACTTTCGTACATTCATTCGGCCGAGCGAGGCCTTTCCCCTTTTTCGTAGTCAACCGCTTTTCTCTACAGCCTTATCCATATAAAAACGCTTCACTGTACCTTAGATTCCATAATATGTACAATTTTTACTTATATTCTATTCGAATAACTTCCATCTGTCTCATACTCTCGTACCTTTTGACCAAACTTGTTAAATTAAATATAGTTTTTATAATTCATATCTGCTTGCCACTTTGCTGCACACTTGGCTAACTCTTGATCTTGCACCTTCGGTTTCTTTTTCAATTATTACTATTATTACCAATGTTTTGAACCAATTAATTTATACAATCTATTCAATGCAGGCCCAAATGCGAGAGCAACCCAATAAAAATCGAATAAATATTTTCTTTTTTCGCATACTTTCGGTTGCTTTTGACTTAACGAATCGATAACGAAACGAATCAAATGCAAAACGCGAGCTTAGTTTATGTCCAAGTCCAGTTTATGGACCAACGAGGTGATTGCGGTTTTTCAGATTTCAATATTTTTGACCAACTCCCACCACAAAACAACTTCACCACCTGGCTTTCTGTACCACACTGAACCAAACAGCACCACCAATCCTCTCTCACCAGAACCACACGAATACCGTTCCTCAGTCTTCAACGCTATACTCCACCCACTCGGCATTCGAACACCCCCTAAATCAGTGATACGATATATATCTAACACCCATTGTAACCCCTTGCAGGCGCTGCAAGTGGCTGTGAAGCTGGAGGGCGATGTGATAACATCCAATGGATCCATTCTCAGCGGCTACGAGGGACACGATGGCCAATCCCTGAACGGCAGCACCAACTCGTCCATGTGCTCGTGCCACTGCATGTGTCTCAACCGACATAAAAAGTACGTAATCGCGCGATTAAAAAGAGGCTCAGAGTGTACTTGGCAGGAATTTCCGGCTCTATTATCTGGAGAGTGGCTAATGTGCATTCAGATAGGATTCGCCGGTGTCTGAGGGCTTTCAAAAGCTCTTTGCCCTTTTACTGTCGGGATTGACCTTTAATATTTCATTTTCTTTGTCTAGCCAGTTGGCCCAAAACCCTCCTCACACCAACAGTAGAAAGTGTTTGGCTTTGCCAACTTTTGCATTAGTTATATAAACAAAAACAAAATTAGCTGTTAGCGCTTCAAAAGGTCATAAAGAATGTGCAGATAACTAAAAATGGCATAGGGTAACGTTTTTTTATACCTTTGTACCTGTATTCTGATTTTAATAAAAGTTTATAAAAAAAGGAACTTTAATATAAAATAAGGAGGATCTTAACAAGTTTCCTTTAAACAATATGCTATAGTTTAATTGAATTCAAGATCGTGTTTTCCTTTTAAAGACACCGGCGAAATAAGTAAACAGGTTACATGTTTTCTATAAGCTCTTTAATAAAACATTTTTACTTTGAACTTCTTCAGTTAAGTGGAAATTGCCGTACCTCTCTGCCTCTTTAAAAATATATTGTATGTGTGTAATCATTTTTGTTTTAATTTCGCTTTATATTTTGCACCTCTGCAGAAGTAACAACTTGGGAAAGAGCAATGATGCAGAGTAAGCTTTCCATTCATATGATTTGTAGCCTTGATTTTAATGACATACGCTTTTAAATAAGATTGTTTATCGTTTCACCCAAAAGAAAACTTTTCTTTTAGTTCGAACCAAAATTTAAGATTAACGAGATGTGTATATGTTTTAGTAAACTCAGGCTTTTACACCGCCATCATGCATGCCTTGTGTATCGATCCTTAAAGTGGATTTTCTGCTAACCGAATGTCTTGATGTCCTTATCCACAGAAACCAATACAAATTGAGGCGATCGCCTACTCACATCCGACACCTGCTGCCGGAGGTGGTGCCCATGCAGGATTTGAACTACGACTACGACACCCAGAGCCTGCACACTTTGGCCGATCGCGGGACCATGGATAGCAGTTACATGGGAGTGGACATGGTGGACATGGGGGATACGGCGAGCATCGAACTAAGGCCGCACGCATTGCTGAAGCGCAATGTCTCACTGCTATCCATTCGCATCTAGGCATTAGGGAGGCTATATAATATGTTGGTGGAGGTGTGGCGGGTTGCAGGAACAACGAAGTGGCAGAACCGCCCTCGCCAAAAACGACTTACAAATCGAAAGTGATAACAAGGCTCTAAATAGTACTTAAATACTTATGTAGATTCGCAACTGACACGTAGGACACGATTGAGTTGGGCGTTTGGATAGTGTGCCATTTATGTAGGCTCCCCGATATGCTATGTGTGTGCATTTACAATGTGAACTAGTGCATAATTCTATACAACATGTAGTGGGCATGGTAGAGACTTATCCTATATGTTTACATATACAACACTTACAACTAGGGCACTATACAATTGAATGTAAACCACTGCCATTTCCGAGCGATAGAACCTAGAAGCGATGCGAATGATTATGGAACGGCAAACACTCACTTGTAGTCTTTCTATTTTAACACTAACAATCCAGTCATCTGTAGCCGTAAATATACCGAATCCGATAACCTCGAGCTAGAATCAACACATGTATTACTACGTTTATACGCCAGCTATTTTTTTTAATTCTTTGCAATCAAATTGAATTTAAATTAGGTAAACTTTCGAAACAAATTTGTAAATTTTAAGCCCATATTATTATATTATCAAGAGGGCTGCGAAATACTTTAATATTTAAACGTATAAATTGTGAACTCAGGTTCGGGTTACAACTGATTTAAGGAGAACCCTTCTCATAACCGCAAAGAAATTTCCTTAAAGATCCAAAAATAGTTTTTATCTACTTAATTTGCAAATAACCGTGCATATAAACGTAGAATACATTCAAGAGCCAAAATAACGCAATGAAGTGTCAAATTAATGCTGTAAATACCCTATAGCCGATTAATGTTAGATAACGTTTAAAAATCAATTTTATTCAGACTTATTATGATTACGTAATGTTTGAAGACGAACTTGATATTAGTTTACGATTACGGTGCGCATGTAGTTAGTAGCCGCAACTAAGGCGACATCCTCGATCTATCCAAGTGTCAAATACTTAGCTAGAAGCCAAACATTTCAGTCAACTCCAGTGCTCAAGTGACTCCACGATGTGCCAAATAACCCACGCGTACGGGCAAACAAATGATATTACTCAAATATTTGTATCGTACGGGTGTTATAGACAGACATACCGTCTCAGACCCCAAGACCTCCCCCTATCGCATTTATGCAAAGAATGCATTTAGTTATAGTTGTAGATAATATCGAACCGAATTCCCCACACTTAGTTTAAGCATTCCATGGATATTGTTTTACGGCATTCGCATTTAAAATAGAATTTTCGATGATCTGTTCTAGTTAGTCGATGCATTTTTCAAGGCCCATTGCTCATTCGAGACGTCAAACGCTTCAAAAAAAAATCTCTTATGTGCTTTGTATATAATAGTATACTTAATTATTAAAAGTAATTACTTTAAAAGCGATATATTGTTAAATCCAAAACTTTGTCAGTTTAAAAAACTTAGTTATGTATTTTATTTGACTTGACTATTTGTAGAATGCTAATTAATTTCAAAATTTTAAATATTTAACTATAACATTTTAGCCAATGGAGTTAAAATTACCAATGGATTTCTTTAAATTCAAGATAAATAAAATCAGATGAAATTGTAATTTTAATTCAGGCAAATAATGAGAAATAGTAAAAAATAAGACTTTGTAATATACTTATATTCCGGAATTACAACAAAAAACAATAAACTAAATTTATATATGATAAAATCCGACATTCTTTATTTATTATTCGCAGAAATCGCACCCATTGCTGCTATATCAATGATATGCTTGTTTTTAAAACCAGTAAAACCAATAATGCAAAACAAAATGTTTAATTTAAATGTATCCGTATTTATTGAAATTACTCATCGTATGTATAGACAATCCAGTAATTTTTCGGTATATGGCCCACTAGCATGTGGGATTTCCAAGTGTCCAAAACTTGGAACAAAATTTGTTAAATGATTAAAAATGACGAGGCCGGATTGTGGATTTGTATGATTTCATTTTCATTAAATTTGGTAAAGTGGCGCAGGGTAAGTAAAGGTGTCTGAGTGTTGATGTTCGTAGAATAGTTATAGTAGAAGTCTAAAATCAAGTGTTTTAAAATTAATGGGACAGCTAACTAATCTAATCGTCCATGCTCTCGTTATTGCGATCCGGAGAGGCGTTTCCATTTTTGGGCGAGGCCGAACGGGAGCGTGAGCGCGAACGCGACTTGTTGTCAGCCGATGCAGATCGATCGCTGTAATAGAAAAGCATTATAATACACTACAGTACAAGCTTTTGAACGACCACAGTTGGAGGGCTACAAACAGGTGCATCCAAACAAAACCAAAGAAAGCACGAAAGAAAGAATCGTGAACTATCTATATAAAGCTGAGATCAGCGGGTGTCTCTAGCAAACTTACCGTGAGCGGGAATCGCGGCGGTTAGACTTGGAACGTGAGCGGGAGCGGGACTCGCGCTTCGAAGCGGAACGCGAGCGGGAACGGGATTCACGCTCGCGCTTGGGAGAACGGGAGCGGGTGCGGGAGTGGGACTTCGATTTGGACTTGGACACATCACGCGATTTGCTGCAGCACAAGAGGAGAAATAAATTAAGTGGGTAAGCTAAAATCAATTCTAAATAGTGGATCGTATTTAACAATGGTTCTTACTTAAACATTCTTTTTAATATTATATTTCATTATTTTACTAATATATTGATAACTTGATACTGAATTAAACAAATTTTTTTTTTGTTGACCTCGAGCCGGAAAAACTCAAAAAAAATCAAATTTTTTATATTTTTCCTCATTTACATTTTTTTGTCTTCGAATTCAAGTATCGACTAATAAAATCATTTTGAATAACCAAAAGTTTTTTAACAAGGTCATCCTTAGATCTAAATTTTAATCGGACGGATTGGCCCTTTGATATTTTTTAAATACTATTCTATACTATCACCAAGAATGTTTTTTTCCATGAATATTTACAATAAAATGTTTATTAAGTACGATCCCTACTGGAAATATTAAATTCTTCACTTACTTGGATCGCGAGCGGGAGCGAGAACGGGACTTGACTGGCGACTTGGACTTGGAGCGTCCGCCGCGGGACTTGGAGCGGCTGCGCGACTTGGATCGCGAGTGAGACGAGCGACGGGAACGAGAGCGCCTGCGGGAGCGGGATCGCGAACGAGAGCTGGACGATCGGGAACGTCCGCGTCCACCTCCGCCTCCGCCGCCACCACCGCTGCGTCCTCCACGCCTATCCTCAACCAGATGGACGCGCCTGCCGTTCAGCTCGGTGTCATCCAGCTTCTCAATGGCCGTCTTCATGTCCGACAACGAGGCAAACTCGACCACGCTGCAAGGAAAGTTATTAAGTGATTAATATTTTATAAGAAAACCTTACGACGATCAATTCTTAAAACCTCTTTTGTTTACTCTTAATTTATTTTTTTCTTTTCTGCTGAGCATTGCATACTTATATTTTGCATAACTTAAGTATAGACAACTTTTGTCACTTTTAAATTCAATTTAAGTCCTTTTTTGTTTAAAATATATTAAATATCTCCTATGTGAGCAACTCATTGTCATTAACAATTAGAACTTACCCTTCATTGCGGCGCTGCTTGTGGGCATCGGCATAGGTGACCTCGCCAGCCTGGCGCATGTAATCCTTGAGATCCTGCAGGGGACGCACAAAGTCGGAATGAAAGGACAAGAGTTAGTAAATTTAAGCTTTGGCAGGGATCTCGCACATTTCGCATCCGGCGGTAGTGGTTGCAACTCAAAGGACAGCACGTGCAGCAGGTGGAGCATATTGAATGTTTCCGGTAATTTGGGCTCGCGCGCTGCCGAGATGGTTCCTAACCAAGTCCGACCTTAGAGTCCCAGTCTCTCTCACAAGTCCCTCTCTCTCAGTGCCCCGTGTTCTTCTATCCTGTGCTCCCTTGTCGCGCCTGCCTACGGGTGGACATCGGGAACCACCTCTCGCCGGACGAAGGGTTCGATTAAATGAATCGGGTGGAAAGGGGCGGAGTAGGTAGCAGGTGCCCAGAGCTTCCGATCGGAACATTCAAACACTCCACGCTGCACGCGGCACAGAACTTAAGCGTAAACAATCATAGTTAACATAGGTTGGCAATTGATAGTATATATAGAGTTGATTTGGTTTGGAAATTAATTAAAGTTAACAAAATAGTTGTAATTGAATTCTTACTTAATGCGCTTTCAGAGAGAGGAGGACACACACATCGTTTCTACACCGAGAGTTTAGATTGTCTGCCTAGTAACTGTGGGCCAATGACACCAAGGACACCTCATGACCTCATCGAAAGTCCGATCGAACATCGTTAACTCAATTAGGCAGCCAGTAAACCGTAGCCATGCAGGCGGATGAACAGATGGATGGCCAGACCTCGTTACGTTTTGTTACTTTGGTTTCGGTTTGGTATGGTTTGGTTTGGTACTTGGTTTTTTCGTGTACAACAGAATCATATTATAAATGGCAAAAAGTATTCAAGTGTTGCGGTTGGCGGTATTCGTTTAGTTTCGGAGGGAGCCACACACCGGATACAGTCAGGAGGTCAGATCAGATCAGAGCAGACATCGCTAGCCAGAACACCACCGCACCAGAGAGCCGGAGAGTCGAGCATTTCGGAGCAGTTTGCCGGGCAGCGGCGGACAACCAGCGGCTTCGGTGCCACACGCACAAACGAACTGCAAAAATAAGAAATACGTTTCGGGACGCTGCTCTCGCTGCTCCAACGGGTTGGTTGTCTAGTCGGATGTCTCAGTCGGAGGCGGGTGCCGGAGCCGCAGCCGTTAGCCAGAAGCCGGAAGCCAGAAGCCAGAAGTACCGGGAATGGGGGGAAGGACTAAGTTCGGAGGCACTAGCCGAAGTTGGTAACTGAACGCGCGACCAGCATCGTGTCATCGTCTTCGATCGATCATCGTCATATGCTCATCTCTCATCTCATCGTCGCCAAGACCATCACATCATCTCAGAATTAGCGAACGCAAGCTTCTCATCTAACCACACTCGATTGTTTCGATTCGCGCCCTCACACTCACAATGGCTATAAGGAATTTGACAATTCTTTATATAATATTGTTTGTAGTTAAAATTGTGAATGTTTTAGCAGAGAGTTAAATACCTAACGCAAGAGGCCAGCCTACGTCTTTATATCAGCTTACGTGGGCTGGCCTTTTGACCCGGGCAGCTCATCATCGTCCATCGTCATCGTCTGGGTAATCTGATTTTGGTTTGTGTTTTAGGATCGATTCTGATCGACTTGTTCTTTTTATTCGGAATGGACAGATGGATGAGGCGGCGGCGATGGCGCATCGTTGAGGTAGTGGGCCGCAGATCATATATCGCAGATCGGACGCAATCTGGGGCTGCTCTGGGGACTGTCTCTCTGTCTTCCACCACTTCATGGTTTTGGGAAACACTCTGTGAACCGGTCTCTAGTTTGTCTTTCTTACGACGATTCAATTAGATTCGATTCTCTATCGGGTGTTTCGGACCCGGTTCGGTTTTAGTTTTGGGCCAAGCCGAGTAGGGAATCTCTCAGTCAAAGCACATCAAACTCTTTTTATTTTTATCGATTTCGGTTGGTGTGTGCGAGAGAAAGTAATGGTGGGTAGATTACACCGATCAGTACCAGGGTTTTAGCAGTATTTCTTATGTATTCGTTTCACTTAAGCCTAGATCAACTATACAACTTATTGCTAAATTACAGATTAAACAATTCTGGAGTCAGAGTGGAGGAGTTAAACACAAAACAGGAGAGACACACCGGGGAAGTAATTCGAAATCAAAAAGGGGCTCCAAAATGGGGGAATTTCTTGATTGAAGAATGGGTAAGTTGATTAGTGGGTGGGAAAGTGATCCATTTCAATTGGTTAGCTGTTATTAATTCTAATGCTACACTCCTCGAATCTAAGCTACAGTGAATACCAGGTCCAAAGCCCGATACATCATTCCATGCTCACTTACCTGCCAACTAACGCGACTGGACAAATTCTCCACAATCAGGCGGTACTCAGTGCGCAATGGTGGGCCATATCGAGAGGATGATCTGGAATTTTTGTTTCTGGTGAATAATTGAATGGATTCGCTAATTAGTATTGACACTGCGCTGCTGCTTCCGCTGCTCCATCACAAAAATCAACGGTGATTATTCGAACATATGCATATTTACACTCGGGGTTATGCGGAACAAAACAAATATTTTAAATACTATGCGGATAGGAAACGTGCAAACATAGGTAAAATATAATATGCATAGGAAAACGGAGCGTCATGGAAATAATAAGATTAACAGCAAGTCAGTGTCGTTTGGTTCCCTTTCACACAGAGGACATCGGTTTAAATAGTTGATTTTTATCTCATTAAAGCGTAAATAAATGTGTAAAGCCGGTATAACTATTGTAGAAAGATTACATTTTAAACAAATCCAACTAGTATTAATTATAACAAAAATTGAAAATGCCTTCTAGTGACATTTGCAAAAAATACTGCTAATTTCGCACCAAAATTATGTAACATATAATTCAAACTAGTCGCATCTGTGTGAATGGGGTTTCAAATGAAAATAGTTTGGCAATACAAATTTTGGGGTAAACTTTAACTCAAACAAAGTTAGAGGACGGAATAGCCGCTACTTTTCTTGAGGTCTGGTAGTCTCTACTTACTTGTCGTTGTAGCGACCGCCTCCCCCGCCCCGCCGACCACCATATCGATCGTCGTAGCGGTCGCGGTTACTGCCACGAGCGGTTCCCCTGGCGGGTTCAACAACCACGCTGCAAATATAGAACACAAACATGAATCACACCATCTCGCGGGCTTTTTGATCAAGAAACTTACCGCTCGCCCAGCAGCTCTTTGCCATTCAGTTCATACACGGCATCATCGGCATCGCGATAGTCTTCGAACTCCTGAAAATGCAATTAGTGTTTAGTATTGATAATAGAATTTGTATTATTTGTCGAGCGCTCTTAGGAGCAACAATATACAGATCATTGATACATAAATACAAGGTAGTTTTATTTTATTTTAGGATACATATTTTGAATTATAACAAAACCGGCTGTTATAAAAAGAATCGGAATTCACTTTGTAGTTTGCAAGTCATGCTTATTTTGGTGAAAATTAACTTGTTTGTTTTAATATATATTTGCATATAATTCCATATAGTTTTATTTTTTAAGTATTTATAGCTACAATTTTACTAAGATTAAAATCGGAAGATCTTATCCTATTTTCTCAGTTTTTTTTTTTTTTACTCACCACAAATCCGTAGCCATTCTTGATGAGAATGTCGCGGGTACGGCCGTAACCCTTGAAGAAGCGCTCCAAATCGCGCTCGCGCACGCCGTACGGCAGACCGCCCACATACACTCGAGATCCTACCATGATTAGGTTCTTTACGTATCTCTAGCAAGTGCTATAAAAAAAATCAAATATTTAAAAAACGTACGTAGTTTTAGCTTCTATTTTGCTCGACTGTCCTTTCCGAAAGAAAATATACGTACACATGCATGCATGTGTGTGTTTTGCCAAGATGGCGGCCGCCAAATACATACGTCTACACACAAACACATGCACGCATTGTACCGGGTGTACAGAACATTTGCAAAAATAATCAATATGCTTCGTGGACTTAATCGCCTTTTTATGCTACCTAATCACATTAACTAGCACGTACCGTTGACTAAAGAATATTTATGGTAAATTTACAATTTACTCGCTTTCCGCACACTCTCTTTTCTGGCTTCTCTTCGACACGAAAAAACGCTAGCGACTCGACAAACGGAAGTGAAAGTGACAGTTGACAACGATGTTTGACAATCATTCCGAAGGTGGAATGAAACGATGGTTGTTGGCCTATCGATGTTTTTGGCGGGCGATGCATTTTAATGCGATGGGGCTATTCTTCAATTAATTCAATTCATTATTTTAATTAATGCAGTGATAGCTTGGTATAAACTCCTGTTATTTGTAATATATATATTATTGACGTATAATTTTGCATACTTGAAATAGGAAAGTTCCTTAACACACCCTCAATAAATAACATTATTTTAAAGTCTTTAATATTGTATATACAATTTAAAACGAAACGACACCAAAAACATTAACAACTCAGGAGATTTTCAATCTGCCCATCAACTACTTTATAAATATTTAAGGAATTCCCCTAATATTCAATCTCAGCGTTTTCATTAATTAATCCAAGTATCGTTCCAGTTTCACATTCCGGCGAACGATATCGCAAGACGCGATGTTGTGGTGTTTCGCCGCATTTGACATCGGGTCACACAACTCCTTTGTGCCGTGCTGTACACTTTACTTTAATTTTCGGGCGTCTGCTGGAGAAAGAGTGAAAAACTGACAATTCGTGCACGACTTTGAAGTTACCTGAGTTTTAGACACAGACAATACAAGAATGGCGGATCTGAACGACTCCAATGGAAACTACGACGATGGTGATGAGGTAAGTTAATATATCGCGAAAGTTCAATATCCAAACGCGTGGGAAAGTGCAAATGTCGACGCCGACAAATTGGCAATGAATTAACACGCGGCTTTTTTGTACAATATGTGTATTCATATGTGTATTAAATAGGTCTTTGTTCGGATTCAGCGGGTTAATGACACTGCAAAAGTTTGATGGCCCTTTTCTCGCAAACATGTAATTGATTAAAAAAAAAAAGATACCGGCTGTCCACCGAAAAAAGAGAACGAAAACACATACACACACACATTAACTAGCTGTCATGGCGGTGCAAATAGTAAAAAGAAAATGGCGGGCGGCGTTTTTCTTGCCCCAAGTTTTTAGTTACCGTAATTACATTCATAAACAATTCCATTTGATGGTCGTTTATAACCATATTAATCTGATTATGACTCATTATTAATACTTTGATACTATAAACATAACATACATACACACTTTGCGTTTAACGCAATCTTCTACCTTATTGATAATAGTATAGATCCTGCTTCTACTTTTATTTCTTCAAAAATGTTTAACTATTCTTTAAAAAATGCGCAAAATATACTCAGCATAATAAGTTTTTTATAAGCAAGTCAATAACATTAAGTGTTAATGTTTTTGCAATCAAAACATTTTTTTAATGCTATTTGGTAAAGTTAAGTTTGGGAAACTATATACAAATTTTTAAAGTTTTAGATTTGTAGAATGGTGATTATTAGAGTAAATTCTCTAATATTTGCACGTTGATTTGAAACAAATTCTGAATTTTATCAAAATATGTATTTAAATTTTAAAAGGTTTATTTATACCAAACAATGCAAAGTTATCTAGAATTCTATTTTCAGACCGGAGAATTGTAAATGAGGGAGTTACTTATGCAATCCGGCTTATGCAAATTTTATTTTTTCTTTTTTTCTCGGTATTGTACTGACCTTCGATCCACTTTAAATTCACTCACAGATCACTGAGCCAGAGCAGCTGCGCAAGCTGTTCATCGGCGGTCTGGACTACCGCACCACGGACGATGGCCTGAAGTCTCACTTCGAGAAGTGGGGCAACATCGTGGACGTGGTGGTGATGAAGGACCCCAAGACGAAGCGCTCTCGCGGCTTTGGGTTCATTACATACTCCCAGTCATACATGATCGACAATGCCCAGAATGCGCGTCCGCACAAGATCGATGGACGCACTGTGGAGCCCAAGAGGGCTGTTCCACGCCAGGAGATCGATGCTCCGAATGCCGGAGCCACAGTGAAGAAGCTCTTCGTTGGCGGACTTCGCGACGATCACGATGAGGAATGCCTGCGCGAGTACTTCAAGGACTTTGGTCAGATCGTTGGCGTGAACATCGTTTCCGACAAGGATACGGGCAAGAAGCGTGGCTTCGCCTTCATCGAGTTTGATGACTACGATCCCGTGGACAAGATTATTCTCCAGAAGAATCACACCATCAAGAACAAGAGCCTGGACGTGAAGAAGGCGATTGCCAAGCAAGACATGGACCGCCAGGGCGGCGGTGGTGGTGGTGGCGGAGGAGGAGGCGGTGGTCAGGGCGGCGGACGAGGCGGTCCTCGAGCTGGCGGACGTGGTGGTCAGGGCGATCGCGGCCAGGGCGGCGGCGGTGGTGGCTGGGGAGGCCAGAACCGTCAGAACGGAGGTGGCAATTGGGGCGGTGCCGGTGGTGGTGGCGGCTTCGGCAACAGCAGCGGCAACTTTGGAGGCGGTGGTGGTGGCGGCGGCGCAGGGGGTTGGAACCAGCAAGGAGGAGCCGGCGGCGGTGGTCCGTGGAATAACCAGGGTGGCGGTAACAGCGGCTGGAATGGTGGTGGCGGTGGAAGCGGCGGCTACGGAGGCGGCAGCAGCAATGGAAGCTGGGGCGGCAACGGCGGAGGCGGTGGCTTTGGTAATGACTACCAGCAGAGCTACGGTGGCGGTCCGCAGCGCAACAACAACTTTGGTAACAACCGTCCGGCTCCGTACAGCCAAGGTGGAAGTGGAGGAGGCGGCGGCGGAGGTTTCAACAAGGGTGAGTTTGATTAAATGAATCCCAACTTAAACAATAGGACATCGAAGTAATGATACGAAAAATATAAAACCTATCAATCCTCCTTTTTTCAAAGTATAAGATTCAAACTAATAGCATAGACATTTAATAATAGTACTCACAGATAAACGTGTTTTCAAATGTTATTTATAAAAATAAAAGCTGTTTTCCACTAACATCAATTCACTGATTTCATTATAATCTAAAAGAATATTTCTCTAATCTGTATTGTAATTATATACAAAATGCAATCCCATATTCAAATCTCTGACCGAATGTTAATATTATCTTTTGCAGGCAACCAGGGTGGAGGACAAGGCTTTGGCGGCAACAACTACAACTCTGGAGGCGGCGGCCAGGGCGGAAACATGGGCGGCGGCGGCAATAGACGTTACTAGACAAGGTAAATATAGACGAATTGGACCCAGATCCTATCCCACCCGTATGTTTTTAAACGCTCGGATCTTTGGTCGTTGTTGGCAGCTAGTTGGAAGCCAAACAATCAATCTTAATCGGAACGAATCTAAGCTAATGCAAAATTTTCTCCTTTTTCGCAACTAGGTAAACACACATAGAGAGAGAGTCAGTTCAAGCTAGACGACAAACAGGCAGTCTAGGCAGGCAGAGGCAGATGCAGAGGCACAAGCACAATCGCAATCTCAGGCACAGGCAGGCAATCAGTAGCAGGTGTGTGTCAGACCAGGCAGACAAGATCAGGACCAGAAATCCAGATCCAGAACCAGAAACCAGGCCGAGTGCAAGTGCAAGCAATCAGTTTTCAGGCCAGCCAAAAAACCTGCAGGCCAAATCCAAAATCTACTGGCCAAAAGCAACAAGCAAACAAGCATGCTTTAAGCAAACAGCCAAAAGCGAAACGAACCGACGCCACTTGTTGTCCACAGTTTGACTCCTGCTGTCTCTCTTAATTAACCAATAATTCGCTGATCAATTCATGTTTAGGATGTTAAGAACCCTGAACGCTTAGTTTTAACTATATTAACAAAACAAACTAAAAGAAACGAAAAGAAAAGAAACCAACAAAAACATATAAATTAAACTATAATTTTATTTTATAAAATTTACAATAGAAACCATTTGAGCGACGGAACGGATTCTCATTGAGAAAACCAGTTGCAACAGGGTGTTAAAAGGTAGAGTACCTTAAACTTTATTCATGTCGGGATGGCCCACAGCTAGCTTTATTTTCAATTGTTTTTATTTTATAGCGATCCAGCGAATTGTAAGAAATCAAATAGAACTGTATTTTGTAATCACTTTTGTGTACATCTAAGAAATTTTATATTATGATTTATTGCAAAAAAAAATCGTAATTTCTGAATAGCGAACGCCACGCTGTGTCCTAGAAAGCAAAATCCACATATACAAAACATACCAACTCTGTTAGACCCTAAGATGTAGATGCTACGCTATTCCAGAAAAAAATACGACAAATTCACATTGTTCTGTAATTAGTTCGTTACGACAGAAACGAAAGTGACGAGATACAAGCAAAATAAAATCCTAACCAATGTTACCCACCCGAACCGATCACAGGAGCATAATCCTTGCGAAAAGGAGCAGGAGCAGCAGCACGATCCGGGGCTTACCTAGAGAACCCAGCGGGTTCCGATCCATCCGATCGGCAGGGTAGCGTGCAGGGCTAGTTACCGTCATTAGAGACCCCCAATAAACCTCCAGGCAAACCGCGTACTAATGCACTGCCTATTTCTTTGCAAGACTGGCCGGGCTACGGACGGATGCTCCCGAACCGGATACGAAATCTGCGCTTTGCACCGGTTCGTTTCCCAAAAAAGAGAGCTCCCCCAAAATATAAGTTCTAATTTGTAGCCGACAGAGCGGTGGCTCGGACTCACTTTGGACTTTGGTTGGTGGCTCTTCTGGCTGACTTGGTTGGTACTCGAAGGTAAGTGCAGGTAACTAGTCGGTTATTTTATTAACAGCTTCTATATTTCTGAATTTCTCAATAAAAAACTTACTACTTTAACAAAACTTCAACTTCTTTGTTTGGTTGGGAAAATAAGTGGAGCTTCTCCAGCTTAAATGAACTTTTTGTAATATATATATATCGTAATTATCGAGTGTGTTAGCGAGTTTATACACATTTTGTTAGTATAAATAGATGTGTCTATTTTGGTTATTTGCCTTTTTAAACTAAGAATTTTATATCAATTCCTTTTGGGTGAGGAAAATCCGGTTTTAAAAAAAATCTTACAGCCATGAATACGTATTTTTCTACCATAAAAATGGGTATTAAAAGCATATTCAGGTTTATCTGTGACAAATATGGTAAACTGTTGATCAAAAATCGATAAGATCTAAATGGTTATTTTATTTATGTTACTTAAAACGTGCCACCACTGAATCTGTTAAGGGGGGTTTGAAAAGTCGAAACGGTTGAAACCCGGTAGCAGTATCCTTTTTCTCGTTTTTATGTGGCAACAGTATTTATAATTTTGGTCGATAGTCCATATCTAGTGAAATTGAAGTCTATTTTGACGTTTGAATAATTTTGATTCGGCTACTGTCATTTAAACTCTGGCCGACTTCATTTCTGTGCCATAGCTCCGACTGTTCGAATTTGCTTTTCTTGCCCGACATGGATTTGAATAATTGTGCCACGGTTTCCTGCCAGCCAGAGGTAAGATCTTCAAGGGATTTATCTCATCCAGGTCTTAGAAACCCACATTTTTGTAAGCAGTGCCAACTTGCCCGGAGCAGCAACTTGTCCAATCCGGTGACCACTGCGAACAATCCCATGCCAAGTGGCATCAGTGGAGCCGAAGCCGACGAGCACTTGCGCAAGATTTTCATTGGAGGTTTGTCCACCCAGACCACAGTGGAGTCCTTGCGTGAGTTCTTTCGGCAATTCGGAACCATTGCCGATGCGGTGGTCATGCGAGATCCGGTGACCAACCACTCGAGGGGCTTTGGATTCGTCACCTACGTGGAGGCCAGAGCCGTTGAAAATGTCCAGAGGGCCAGGCCACACACCATTGATAGCAAGTAAGCTTTCCATACTTTATTACCAAAAATACTACAAAGTTTATACCTATAACCTCTTAAATAAGCATATTTAATATGAATATATTTTAGAGATATCATTTTAGAAAACATCATTTAAAATGATATTGTTTAAAATATTTTGTCCAACTTGTATGTGACAAGTAAGATAAAGTGGGCAATTTGTTCTAGAAATATTTTAAAATTGGAAGAAGTTTCGGTAAATCCTAAAAGGCGGTTATAAAAACATTATAAATCAGGGATACCGAGATATATTTAAATATTATCATGTCTTATTCATATTTTCAAATTTTATATATAGAACTTACACAATTTTGTAAGAATTTTCTGGTTAAATATACATTATATATATAATGTTTTAACAATATTCCCTCATCTAGAGCTGTGGAGACCAAGCGTGCTCTGCCACGCCATGAGTTCAACAAGCCGGGAGGAGGTGGAACTCTAAGCCATGGAAATGGTGGCCTTGGAATCGGAGGCGTCAAATCCAACAAGATCTTCCTGGGCGGTCTTAAGGACTGCCACGACGAGAAAGCCATACGCGATTACTTTTCGCAGTTTGGAGGGGTCACCAATGTGAAATTGCTTCTGGACAAGGACACTGGGCGTAAGCGAGGATTCGGATTCCTCGAATTTGAGGAACAACTAAGTGCCGAACGGGCATTGGGTGAGTATTTGATATTTACTTCTAAACAAATAGCATATTAAGTAAAGTGCATCATTAAATTGTCTAGCAATGGCCATTTATTAGTAATTGTAAACAAGTAAAACGGAAAAGGAAACTCCACTATAGAAAAGAAACTATGTGTATAAAATTTGTACTAAACTAAAACTATTTTTATTAAAATCGCGTTAACTAGAATCAGGAAAAATAATAAATAAAATTAAAAATATATAAATATAAATATAAATAAAGGTAAATCCCTACATTTTAGCTCAAGGCAAGCACTCTATCAACTTGACCACGGTGGAGGTGAAGAAGTCCACCCAGAAGCCGGATCCGGGCAAACGTCTGCGATTCCCCGTAAGCGGATCGATCCGAGCCGGATACATTCCGCCGCAGCCGCCAACGCTGGAGAGCTATAACAGTAACTACAATCCGTACCTGGCGCAGACCATCCTGCCACCATCGGCATTCATCAACGGTTGGGCTTCTTATGTGACACCAATGCCACCGCCGGCAAAACACGTCCTCTACGCCGCCCGCCCCTCAGCATCATCTGCAGTCTCCGGTGCACACCTTTGGCGGATACGGCCCAGATGCATGGTCCTCCTACCAGAAACCAGGAAAATATCCTGCCCACGAGTGGACACCTAGCAACGTAGGCGAATGGCCTCCAAAGGCCGGGCACAAACACGCCCAGACCTCGACTAGCGATCGTCCCAAGATCGATTATAAGTGTGTCCAGCTGGCGCCTTCGGATGCCAAATTGGATATGGGGGCCAGAGGCGATGCAGATGGAGGATCTGGAGTGGGATTGGCACTCGGATTGACAGGAGGAGCATCAGTTGGAACTGGGACAACCAAGAAATGGCCTACAGAGGACTACGAGGTCTTTAAGCCCGCTCAACCTCCAACCCCGCTTCTTAACCCAAAAATTGGTAACGGGGGATCACCACCAGCCTATGGTATGTTACATCGAATTAAATTCTAAAAAGATCGATATAATATAATTTTTAAATTTATGAAACAAGAACGAATTCCATAAAAATATAATTAAACGAATCAAGGTAGCTTTTTCGCTAAAAGAACAAACAAAAAGATATAGAAATGCTATAATTTGTTTTAAGTGAAAACAACTCCTTTAATTAAAAACATTCTTAAGTTTTAAAAATGTGAAAATTATTAAAAAACATATCTCCTTTTTAGTTCTTGAAATAAATTTAAAGATTTGGTGTTAAACGTTTTGTAAAAATTTAAATCGAACTCTAATTGTTACAGGCATCTGAGGTGACGAACATTGGATCGACCTTTTTCTCAAATCCTTAACTAATGGTATTTTTTAATTCAACGATATGTATTCGGCTCCTTCGAGAGGAGAAAAAATAAACCACACTAGACTTTTTGAGACTTAAAATCGTAAACTCTTGTTCTTTATTTATACTATTTTTGTTTTCATTCAAAGTATTGCATGAGTGAATTGATTTGCGTAATGTTTTATATCTGAAACGCTATAAAACGCACCACTGAATTATGTCTGAGACATGGGATTTGGAGATTGGAAATACTTGGCTTGTGATTGATTAAAGTTATGCAAGTTACTTTCAAATGCTTAGCTTTGTGCGCATCAATTTCATTTAAATGCTGAATGCTCAGTTTTTTCAACACAAAGGCAATGGAAATTGGATTCAGTCGCAGGAATCGCTTTGACTTGATAGGTAAAATAAACGTTATATCGTGGAGTCTGTGGTGTTTTCTTTTCTGATATCTTATCTACGACTTATTGGTGTTTTTTAGGAGTTATCGCATTTACCAGAAACAGAAAAGGCAATCCGTTCGATCAGATATATTTATTTTGAATAAGAAATGAAACAAATTATAAGTTTTCTGGTAAACACGCTGAATCTTTGTGGTTGCTTTTATTATTATTAGAATTATTTTGTAGTTGTATACATATAAATTAAATTATAATTAAGTGTTTCCTCTTTTTTTCTTTATTCTTTACAAACTGCAGTATTGTGATTTCTCGTTTTACTTAGAAATGAGCATGAACTTGAATGTTTTTTTTTTTGTTTTACTCTTACATAGATTTAGTACCTCTGATTTGTATTGTATTGTTTTGATGCTGTTTTTTTTTGTTGGTGTTGACGAATCACTTCCAGCACTGATCGTTGAGCTAAGATTTGAACACTAACATTTTCGTTTTACAAAAAAAATGTACTAAAATTGCTTTAGACCCTGGTCACAGTGCTAAAAATGTGTGGCTGGCAAACGTGAATGGTGTGTGTGTATGTACTAGAAATAGTTGTAGAAAGTAATTGATTTAGCAATTGATTCTCTAGAGCAGGAGTCGACCAACAAAAACAAATGATATGTTCCCAACGAATCAAAAGTCCTTAAGCTTTAACAAAACAAGAATAACTTAGGCAAATAGTTGGACGCCTGCGACAAAATTCAAAAGATTCTTAAATAATTTTAAATGTTTTTAGTTCCCCTCTTCGCTTTTCTGCCTTCTTCTTTTGCTGCAGCAGTTATATAAATATATATATTTATGTATATTTAGATTTCTGGTAAGTCTAAAAGTTAACATTAAATTATATGAGTTTTTTTTATTTATATATATATTTGTATATATTTTTTGTTACATGTTTTGCTTGTTTTATACCTTGAGAAAAATGTTAGTAGCTTGCGTTTCGTCTTCCAACTATTATAATAAGTTTTGTGTGTTTTATATGGTTCTCATCTTCCTTCCATTTTTTTGAGATTTTTCTTGATTTTATTTAAAAAATATGTACTAAATTTTAGTTCACAACTGCGTTGGAAACACCAAATCGTTTAAGTTGCTTGACTTAGTTTGGTTTACGACCTTGAACTCATTACACAGAACGAAAAAAGCGAAAACACAGTCCGTCCGTCCGTCCCTCATCGATCACATCGACCACGCCCCCTGCTGCGGCGCCGGCACCGCATTTGCCCTCTCACAAACTCTCCATCTTTACAATCTTTCGATCCGATTCCCTATATAGACTAGCTAGTTAAATGTGTCTGCAAATTAGATTTAAATAGCAAAAGGTTTACAGGCTCTAAAATGCGGCGGACTTTATGGGGCGCTAAACGTCGACGTTGATGCGTTTGTTTTTTTCTTCCTCACTTTTCATTATTTTGCGGCTGGGTGCTGAATTGAATTTTCCTTTCGTTTTCAATGTTTTTCAAGAGGTTTGTGTTCTTGTATTTTTGCTTGATCTTATTGTTTTGCTTGCTTAACCGCGCCTTACATTTTTCTCGTGTTACCATTTTTTTTTTGTTTTTATATTAATTTTTTCAAGTCTTTCTTTTGCTCTTTTTTATTGCATTTTACAAAGGTTTTTCATTTTTTTGTTGTTTTTTCTATTTATATCTTTTAGCTAAATTGTTTAAGCTTTCCCTTTTAACTTCTTTTATTTAGCTTAAGTATTTGTGGTTATTCAATGAAAAAAACAAACGAAAATGTGTTGCATTGCTTCTTTCCTTCTTTTAAAAACCGATTTCTCTCATCTAGCAAACTAAAGTTAGATTTTTTTTGAAAGTGATTTGCCAAACAATAGTTGAAATTAAAGTTTACATTTATGCTAAGATGGGTGAGTGTGAGTGTGTCTTCTGTCTGTTTGTGTTTGTTCGATGAATTTTTATCTGATGTGGATGTGCTTGATTGAGACTTAAACTTAATACACGTGTTTCATGGTAAAGGTGATTCCGTGAATGGGTGGTGGGTGGTAGAGAGTAGCAGTTGACGAGCTGAAGCTTTCTGTTTTTTGGATTCACAACAGAGATTTGCACAGAATTTCGGTATATTTTGGCACGAACTGGCTGGAAAAAGCGAGCCTAACGCAATTAAACTAAGGAGAGACCCAAGACGTTACTTTTTTTTTGTTTTAGCTCGACACCCCGAGTTGCGCTCAGGAACATTTAAAGGACAGTTGACAGTTTTTGTTGCTCCACCTACTATATGTTTAGTGTGATTTGCGTGTCTTTGTGTGTTTTAATTGCATGAGATGTTTTTGAATGTAATTGATTGATTGCATAGTGGAAGAAGTCGATGTTCTTAACGTTGGGTTGTTGCTGTTCTTATTTTTGTGGCTACTGCTGCTGCTGTTGTTGTAGATGCTTTTGCTTTTGCTGATGTCGTGCTGAGAAATTTCTTTAGCGACGTCCGTAGTTGCCACCACCGCTCTGTCCATTTCCGGCACCGCGCAGCGGTCCGTTAGACTGGTTGTTGCCTCCCCCGGTGCGGTTATCCTGGCGCTGCCCAAATCCACCACCGCCGCCACCCAGACGAGGAGCTCCGTTTCCGCCTCCACCGCCGCCTCCCTGGCGCAGGTTGTTGCCACCGGGATTGTTACGCATCATACCGCCACCGCTGCCATTGTTGTTTCCCATTGGACGCGACTGCGGCCCGTTGTTGCCGCCTAAACGGCCCATGTTGTTGTTTAGGTTGTTGCCACCGATCGGCTGACGGGGCACCATGTCGTTGCGAACGCGCGGCTTCTTCTCCTCCACGTTCAACTTCTGGCCATCGGGTGAGTTCTCCGGGAAGTAGAGGGGCTATAGAATGGGAAATTGTGAATTTTAATTATCCTGATTAAGATTTAATTTTAGGTTACAAAGAACTCATAGACATTGTCCAGTCTGGGATAACATTTCGAGTTAAAAAAAATATTAAAATATCAAAAAATAAATTTTACTTCGTAAATACACGGGATTTATAATTATGTGTGATTTTAGGCTGGTCTACTTACGCAATTGGCTAGGCACTTTTGCACAGCCTCGGTATCGTCGTAGGTAATAAAGCCGTAGTTCAACGGACTGCGCATGCCCGGCGGCACTTTGTTTCCAGCCTTGGACAGGATGCGCAGCTCCAGGACATTTCCGAAGCGCGAGAACAGATCGCGCAGATCATCCTCGGTGGCGTGGTGCGGTATATTTCCCAAGAACAGCTGCTGATTATCACCGAACTGCTGTGTGTTGCTCGAGCGACGCTGCTCAAAGTCTGTAAAACAAAAATATTAAAGCAAATATATTTTATATTATACGAATAATAGATATTATTTGAACAGAAGCTTAAATCAATTTGAATAATTATGCTTATCTACGCGTTGACGCGTTTAAATGACTAGTCCAGCAAATGTTTTTGACAACGATGATTCATATTCAATTGGGTGTTGGCACAAAAAAATAATAAAAACCTTATAATATAAATTTGTTGTATGTAAAATCTATAAGATCTTTAGCCGTTTTCTAATTTAATGATTAAAATATAAGAATGCAATTAATTTCAGCCTTCCAACAATGTTTGAAAGCGAAAATAATTCTCCTTAGTCTACTTAAGGGTAATGACCTCACTAAAGTTAAGGGAGGATAGACAACTTACCACCCTTGTTGTTTCGGATCGAGTTGTTGCGCTGCGGCAGAGGACCACCGTTATCCAGTCGCGAGTTGCCGTTGCTATTGTTGTAGGAAGAAGCAGTGGTCGAGTAGCTAACCTGGCCGCCATTGCCGCCGCCCGCGGATCCCGACGACGAGTTGTAAGTGTTGCTGCTGATCGACTGCTGCTGTTGCTGCTGCTGCTGGAGTTGTTGCTGCTGCTGCAGGGCGGCATTCACAAACCCGCTCGGCGAGGAGGACGTGGATTTGAACAGGTTCGCATAAGTCTTTGGCTCGTTCTGCTGCTGCTTGGCGGCCTCGTACTTCTCTTGCTGCTGCTGCTCGTGGATAGTCTTGAAATCATCGACGGGCGTGGGGGGCTTTTGCAGCTGACGCGGAGGAACCTCGACTTCCTCGGGTTCCGCCAGTGGTTGTTGCTGCTGCGGCAACGGCTGCTGCTGGATGGGTTGCTGCTGCTGCGGGGGCAGCTGTGGAGGTTGCTGCTGCTGCTGCTGAATGAGCTGTGGTGCCACCAGTGGCGATTGCTGGAAGCCCGCACTTGGCACTGGGACAATGGGTAGCACCGGCGTGCCGCTCGGCTGCTGCTGCACCAGAGGAGACACACTGGGCGGGACCAGCACCTGCTGCTGCTGCAGCTCCTCGTGCGACACCACTCCATTCTGGATGGGTTGTGGCGGCGGTACGGTGAACTGCGCGGGCAGAGGAACCGCGGCGGCCTGCGGAGCTGGCGGCAAAACGGCCACCGGACGTCCGGCAGCAGCTCCCGCTGGCAATGGATAGAAGATCTGCTGCGGAGCAGCACCACCGGCCGCTACAGTAGCCACCTGCTGGGGCACGACCACCTGGGCCTGCGGCTGCGGTGGCGCCTGCTGTTGCTGCGGCTGTTGGGCGACCACATCGCCCGCCACCTGAACAGCTTGATCCACAGTGCCACCAACATTGCCCACCACCTGAACGTCGTGCTCCTCATCGTTCTCCGATCGCGACTCGCCATCCTGCTCGTCTTCGATGTACAGATCCTGATAGCGGAAAATGTCGTTGTGCACGTAGTACTTCTTCGGCGACTGGGCGGCCAGGACGAACGTCTGGGTAAACCGCCGCATCGGCTGCCCATCGTTGGACAGCTCACCGGTGACCTGCACCACCACACCGTTGCCCAACGTGGCCTGGGCATCCACCTGGCTAATCTTCGCGTGGCAATCGTTGAAGTTCAGCTGCTGGATACGATTGTGGATCTCCCGCTGACCCACCACCAGCTTGGACTCCCCATGGATGTACGACGAGTTGTTGTTATAGAAGCGGTGCAGGTGATTCGGCGCCTTGTTCAGCAGCGTGTAGTACTGGCGGACAAACTCGCGTCCCACCGACTGCGGCGAAGGCTGCTGCGATTGGGTCGCATCCATGACCATAGCTGGCGATTGATTCTTCCTGCTCTGAACTACGGGCTCCTGGACTCCGGTTCTAGAACTTCGTTTTCCGGTACCAATTTATAATACTCTTCTTAATGGACTTATCGACACGGTGGCTAATCAGTGTCGATTGTTTGGTCTGGAGTGTGGGATTCAAAATGTCTGCGAAACAATGCAAAAATATACAGGCACTTTTAGTAAAAATTATACAGGAAAACTGTCTTGTTTATAGATTATAAAAACTGGCAAAAGGAGTAAAATATGGGACCCCAGTGTCGATTTCTCTATCTGATAAGTTGAAATCAAAGCATAAAGCTACTTGGTTATCTGCAACCCAAAATAGTTTTTAAAAAGGGCGTCGGTTTACACTACACACGTTCTTAGAGGCAAACTGTTTAGGTAGGTAGTTCTTTAGAATGAGTCACTAAATCATATTCAACTCAAAATAAAACTTGACTACAGAACCAAATTCTAGAAATGTATCAACACTTTGACGACTTTTTCTATTTAAAAATGAAAGCTTATCCTAACATTGAGCTAATTAATTTTGGTTTGTTTGAACTACTCGTTTAGATCCTAAATTTTAACCAAATTTTTTAAAATTTCGGTGAAAGAGATTCTTGTTGATTATGATACTATTATGTAAAATAAAATGATGTTTTAATTATATTAAATTTGTTTGTCTCAAAGGTTTCTAGAAAGTTTTCAAATAATTGCCAATTACGATTACATTTATTTTTATTCTATTCTCCGAAGTATTGAGTATTCCAGTTTCTAGAAGAATGAAATAGTCACGGATTTGTAGACTGTAGTTCTACATTTATCCTACGAAATTCACATATTCTTAGGAGTTTCCTTCTTTAGCTACTGTTATTTTGACCTCCTCTATGCTCCCAAACGAGGATCTAGAGTTTCACTGTCCGAAAGGATAAGGGGTGCCCCATAAAAGAGCTGATTTTACCGCAGTGCACATAAAAAAAGACGCAACGCGATGCAGTTTGACCCACTTTTTGGCCCCCACACACATTCGCACACGCGAAAGAGGGGAAAATTGAGTGTAGTGCAGCTGTCACCCAAAGTTGTTTTTGCTCTGGGTTTTAGCAGGATATTTAACCCTGCACGTGCTCTGAGTTTTATACCTGCGATCCTGGTTCAAAGGACACACATGTGTGGGTAAGTAAATGACCTCATACATGTATATGTATGAATAATACAAAAAAAGAAGCCGCCAAGCGGGGAGCATGAATTAAATTGAGGTTATGTTCGGGCCTCAAGGTTGTGGCGCCGCTTTCATTGAACTACAGCTTGGCTTAAAAGTTAATTGTTTAAAAATCAATCTAATCCCAAGCAAAACCTAAAATTGTTTACATCTAGTGGTTAATATACGTTTTTTAACCCCTTTAGCCACAAATATTTGCCGATAAAACAAATACTGCAGAGTTGCGGTACGCACACACATGTACGGTTATGAACGCGCCACTCTCTCTTGCCCTCTCTCTGTCTTTCTGCAAACCGCGTGTGTAGGAAGAACAAAGAAAGCGATAGTTGAAGAGCAGCGTTTAAACAAAAATTTCCAAAAACAAAATTTTTTCTTACAATTTTAGGTTATGAATAGGCAATAAAAAAAGCCGCTAAAATGGAATAAAATTTTTACGGAACTGCGAATAAAACACGCCCAGTGGGTATTTTTTTTGTCTATCTTTTTGTATGAGCCACCCCAAATGAAAATGGAAAATGCTAGTTTTTCTACACCGCGCACACGAGGCCGCCGCCGGCTCACCTTTTTTGCAATTTTCCTCCTTTTGAATGCACAATGTGTATTGCTTATGGGTTGAAATTCTCCGAAAAATCGGCACTTTTTGTAGCACTTTTCTTTGTTATCTTCCAGCGGGGGCGAGGGGAGGTGGATTTTCAGTGGAGCGCTGAAATAATGCGGGATTTTTAGTTTTAAAAATCATTGGTCAAAACTTGTAAAATACAATGCGAAATTGCAAACTGCTCACAAATCACACACATGCACACACACTGCTCTACTTTGTTGCAATTTTTTCTTTTTTTTCAGAGAATAACTAACTTGGCAATTCTTGACGTGCGTTATATTTTTTGTTTTCCGATGTTTGGCGATCACAGTTGTTGTTGAATTAAGTTACGATGCATAGGTTGTGGCTTTTGAGTAGAAAATAATCGCAAACGCTATGAAATTGGACAAGTGTGTTGAATCGAGAAGAGAACCGACGTTCGTTCCTCTTTTCTTCTTTTTTGCCTCTGCAGCGTTTTATTCTCGGTTTCTTTTCGTGTGTGTTGGTGTGCGTTGATGTGTGAGTGATGGCGGCTTTTCGGGGGTGTGTACACACTGTATTTGGGGTGGACAAATTGGTATTTTTATTTAATATGTTTTGAATACGTCCTTGTTTTTAATGAATTACTAAGGTTATTCTGCTTTTTTTTTCAATTTTTTTTAAATTTATTACTTATAGTTCGTTCGTTAACCTCTTGTAATTGAGTTTTAGTATTTTTTCAGCTTTACCCTAGCTTGTTTTGGTATTATACTATTCACCATTTTGGGTGTGTGTACACTGCTTAAAAAAATGCTGCCATATCACACACTTACAGGCTACGCACCCCATTATACCAATGCAATTGGTGTTAATTGGTGGGAAATACATAAAAATACCATTGTAATGCCTTGTAAATGTAAAAAAAACCTACCCCGTGCAGGTTAACCAGGTCGGCAAAGAGTTTACTGAAATAATACCAAATCGTGAGAACTGGCAACTCGACGAGGTGGCAACTCTGCACCCATATACACACGCTGTGGCTTGCATTTGTCATTTTCCGGTCGTCATTCGTACGCGCGACTTTTTGGCGAGTGTGTAAAAATCTCCGGCTCTGCGTAAACCGAACCGAAAATCGTGCTGCTTAGCCCCGAAATTAGTAATACACAATATACAATATGGCCGACAAGCAGCAAGTGGATAGCGAGATGAACGGCGAGGATTTCACCAAGGACGTGACCGCCGACGGACCAGGATCTGAAAACGGGGATGGGGCCGCCGCCGGCTCCACTAACGGCAGTTCCGACAACCAATCGGGCGGATCCGGCCAGCGGGATGACGACAGGTATGTGCACTATCCGGGAATATATACTTTTTTTTCCTTGCGACGGGCAGCTGATGATCATGTGCCCCCATAGATTTTCTCCTATACATATACGTATATTGCCTACTCTGTTACGTAAAGGCGAAGCTAACGTCGTTGGTCGAGTTGAATGGGGCTTACGGGGTTTTTGCGGGGGAAGTCTGACCCCTTTTGTGTTCTCTCTCGCTCTTGCTTGTGCCCATGTTGTGTGTGTGCGGTGTCGGTGCGACTGTACTTCAGTCATATTAATAGAATCTTCGGGAAAATGCATCATAGACCCTCGGGAGCCATGGAAAATTTTCATCGTGTTCCTCTGCACACACTCATTTTTTCCTGCTATGAAAACATGAGTTTTTCTTTAGCTTGGAGCACATTTTCCCCCTTTGTGAGGTTATGTTCAGTACCCACGTTGCCCCACACACACACACACATGGAGTGTTGCCTTTCACTTGCAAAAAATGAAGAAAAAAGTTCGAAAAAAGTTATGTTTGTATTTGCCAGTATATTCTTTTTTATTCGCATTACGCTTTTGTTCGGCCATTCGTTGTTATTTTGTGCTCTTCCAGTTCTGTACCCAAAATGGCGGCCACATACATGCATACATACTAACACCCGCAGTTGTGTGTGTGTGCGTGTTTTGCAGTTTTCACTTATTCTCTTTTGCTTGCCGGCTTCGTTCGTTCTCTCGCTCCCCCTCGCCATCTCTTTCCACTCTTTCTCTCTCCGAGAGCGACAGCCGGCGTCGTTTTAGAGTTGCCAAGGCGCCAAAATTAAAAAGTAAATTAATGAATGTACTTTGCTGTGTAATAAAATTGTGATAAGTTTAGCAAAAAAAAAAAAAAACAAAGAAGATAAAGTATGACCCCTCGTTTGCCCCCTTTGGTTTTGTTTTTAGGCCTAGCATACACTTCATTTGCCCATCCTACTGATCATTTAATGTCTAAGTTTAATCTTAAGTCACACGATGCTGTACACTAAAATGAAAATCCGAAACCACCGCTGTTGAAGATGGAGAATCCCCCGAAAAAAGAAGGATGATGGAATGGAGAAATTAAATCCAAAATCATAGCTTATCCTGTTGTCTTGTGAGCGAACTAACCTTGTTCCTCTCCGACAGGTTTTGAGAGAAGTGAAATGCCCAGGGTATAAGCTATGCTCAAGTCGGATTTGGATTCGGATGCGGATTCGGATTTGGATTTGGATTCGTATTCCTGCCCCGGGAAAACGGTTACGGATTCGGATTCGGCGGGTTCGGACTTGGAGGATACCAACCCCTTTCCTCCACACTCCAGTCTCCAATCTCCAAAAGTCTCCGCTCCACCGATACTGATGCTGATGGTATTTATCTAACCAAAACTAAAACAATCAATCAGTCAGTCAGCCAATATATAGAACTATCGACACACAAAATTATCAACAAATTATCTCGATTTAAATTGGATCCATATGTAAACTGTATACGAGTATATATTGTATTGTATCTTAACGTATAACTTGTAAATTACCCAACCAAAAAAAAAAAGTACCAAGTAATCGGAGACAGAGAGAGACCGAGTGAAAGAGACTCGCAGTTTTTTCGTTTGTTTTTATGAAGCTCACAAAAAATATATCATATACCGCCCGATGAAAGAAACACAAAGAACGAATGTAACGTAATGAATTGCCGCAGACTATATGACGCAAAATCACTAAATTGCAATCGAAATTCCGCCGCCGTGTGACGAGACTGTTCCAAATTTGCCGGGAATCCGCCGAGAACGCTGAGATATCTTTCCAAAAATCCAGAAAGCTATAAGATTAACGTACATCACAGTAAACTTTAAGTGTCTATGCATATTTTTTTGAACACTCTTTTTTATAAAAATAAAATAAATACAGCCAAATAAAGCAAGTAAAACCAACCACAATTCAGCATAAAAACCTTTGCATTTTTCTCATCCTATCGAATAAAGACTAATTGTTAATTGTTAATTGTACAAACAAAAACTATAAGTATACCCAAAAACAAAAACTAAATAATTCACTCTTGCATATCTTTCTATATATTATATATCTATATCTTTCGCTCGTTTTGTGTCTCGATCGATCGCTCACTCGCTCCTCGAACTCTTTCGCTCATTTCCGAGTTTGCAAGTTTTTTGACACTATCCGATCAATTCTTTGATTGCAATACAGTAACTAAAGCAATTTTTCACTTCAAATTTGGTGAGTTTTTTTTATTCGTTTTGTATTTTTGCTCTGTCATCAATTCTTTTGCAGCCAAAACCAAAAAAACAGTAAGAAGAGAAATTTAAAGTAAATCAAGAAAGTATATTTGCCTCGCGCATTAAACACAATCTTTTTTCGTGCCTGAATTCCCAGATATACCTTTATTCCCCCACTCCCAAAAAGTCCTCTCCGTAGAACTTATAATAATTTTTGGCCCCGTTAAACTAACCAATTCTACTTTGACCTTTCGCAGAAAACTGTTTGTGGGCGGTCTGAGCTGGGAAACGACTGAGAGTAAGTACAAAACGTATTTATAATTATGATTTATAGTGTTAGAACCATATTTTGTCTTAATTAAAATATAAATTTAAAAGAATACATTAGAATATCAGTTTAACGTTTAACTTAGTTCTTTGTAATAGTTCTTAGTTAACGTGTAACATTAACTCACACTCTACTTTTCTTATTTTTGCAGAGGAACTGCGAGATCACTTCGGCAAATATGGCGAGATCGAGAGCATCAATGTCAAAACAGATCCCCAGACCGGACGCTCGCGAGGATTTGCCTTCATCGTGTTCACAAACACCGAGGCCATTGACAAGGTCAGCGCCGCCGAAGAGCACATAATCAACAGCAAGAAGGTTGATCCCAAGAAGGCCAAGGCCCGCCATGGCAAGATCTTTGTCGGTGGCCTAACCACAGAAATTAGTGACGAAGAGATTAAGACCTACTTCGGACAGTTTGGCAACGTAAGTATTCCCCAAAAAAATAAGAAGAAATTGTAGACTTTCGATACATAAATATTAACCATTATTTATAAAAACCATTTTATTATTGATTCAAAGATTCTATGATTTAATATTAACCTATTGTATTATTATTATTAAAAGATTGTAGAGGTTGAGATGCCATTCGACAAGCAAAAGTCGCAGCGCAAGGGCTTCTGCTTTATCACCTTTGATTCGGAGCAAGTGGTGACGGATCTGCTGAAGACGCCCAAACAGAAGATCGCCGGCAAGGAGGTCGATGTGAAGCGGGCCACGCCCAAGCCAGAGAACCAGATGATGGGCGGTATGCGAGGCGGACCACGTGGCGGTATGCGCGGCGGACGCGGTGGCTACGGAGGTCGTGGTGGTTAGTATATCAACCCCAGACAAGGGAATGATTCTCTATCGAATCGCTTCTAAATTGCTGTCCCTTCTTTTTAAAAGGATACAACAACCAGTGGGACGGACAGGGTTCCTACTCGGGATATGGCGGCTACGGCGGATATGGAGCCGGTGGCTATGGCGACTACTATTCCGGCGGCTACTATAATGGATATGACTACGGTTATGGTAAATACAACAAACAACAAAGTAGTGCTCAAAACAATTATTACAATAACAACACGTCGAGTAATTACCATCAAAACAAGAACAATAGCAACAACTATCAGCAGTTCTAAGTAGAGCCTAGCCACAAAAAGACTGGCCAGCAAAATCAGAAAGAAAAAAATCAAGCAAACAAAGCAACAACAACCGCAAAACACCATATAAACTTTTTAATTTTTGCCATAGACCCGATCTGATACAAATTTTCACGTTGTTGTGTTTCCCATTCAAACAAAACTGAGAGAAAAACAAAAACAAAAAGTTTTGCTGCATTTCGATATATTGACTATATATATGATTATATACCGCATGTATTATCTATATGCATATTTGCATATATGTTTATGCGGGTATATGACATACAGATGTCAAAGAAAACCAACATCAACAACAAACAACAACAAGAACAACAACTACGAAAGCAACGTCGCTAAAAACAAGAAAACTTTTAAATATTGTAGACAAAAAAAAACAAGAAAAACTATTCTTGAATGCTAACATATATAAATTTTAAACATTTCATTTTATATTAAACAAAATGTGTATGTTGACAGACAATTTTCTTCATTTAATATAACAAGCAAATTCGTAAATTTTAAATACACATTTATATCTATCTTATATATAACTACGTATAATTTAAAAGGCATATATTTGATGTTTTAAATTTTAAAGCGTACTTTTTAAACGAAATTCATTTAAAAGAAACATTTAATTACCAATTATTAGTTGAGTAGCATTTAAACATAAAACTGACGAAGCGTGTGTAAAAAAGATTGTGTTGTTTAAAGAGTGAGAAAAGAAGCGAAGAGAAAAGTAGACGTGACGTTCAAGTTGAGGCATATATATTATAGAGGTAGAATACTGCCATATATATGCGACCACCAGACCGGACCAACCAACAACTAGACTCACTTCAGCAGCGATGTTGTCGCGAGGTCGCCTTCAACAGACTTTCCAAAGATGACAAATACCTCAAACGCAAGGGCAGCAAACAAACAACAACAGCAAAACAAACCCAGACATAACAACAAACAAAGAAACACAAACACACGAGGAGCATGTGCCAATTATGTGAAACTGTGTGAAATGCCAGCGTTTTTGGCCTTTTGCGCAATTGCAACTTGTGCCTTTTTTAATTGTTAACTAAACTGTTATTGTTTGAACCAACTGAAACCAAAATCTGTTGAAACACACACACACCCACTTACCCCCTCAGCACTCCCATAAAATAGTTATTTAAATAGTTTCTCCTTTTGTTTTGTTAAACAAAACACTAAAAAACAAACCAGAACAGAAACGACAAGAAACAAAAAAACAAAACAAACGAAACGCGTAATCAAAGCTTTGATTCAATGTCTATTTAAATATATATACCTTATATATAGCATATAAATATATTTTTAGATACATATTATTATTCCGGCAACGGGATAATATTCACGTTCTTTGCAATGCATATGTTTTCGTATGCACCATACGTCAATATACCTACCATATATATTTATATCAAATATATACAAATGTTATATATTTATACATAAAACGTAACATTTAACTATGGTACTATTTTTGATAGTATTATTTTAAGGCAAATCCTTGTAAAAAACAACTACAATACGAAAAAGAGTACAACAACTAGAGCTCTTTAGATCTGAGGGCCGGGGTCCAAAAAAGTCAGCGCAGCGGATTCGGAATATTTACCATATTCCTTTTGAACTGCAGCACCCCCGGCCCCATTCGTTAGATCGTTCTTTTATTTGCTTTATTTGCATTTCCGCTGCACTTTCTTGACAAAAACGTAACGTAATGTATAAACAATCCATTTTTGAGACTTGTTTTAGTTGCACCGTGAGCGCATTGCGGCATTCTGCATGTTCATACGTTGATTCCAGGATGAAGAACACAAAAAAGAGAAAAACAAACTAACTAACTTACTGAACAACGACAAATAATTACAACTACAACAGTAACATCAACAACATCTTAATTGTAGCAACAAATATGAAACTTTTCCAACAAAACAAATGAAAAAACACACTTCGTCAATTTTAGTAATTTTAATTCAAGCATATATACATATATAATTTTTCTTATGGTTATTAAATGTTAAGTCGAGCAACACCAACAAATCACACATACACAAGCAATGCTATTCGCAAATGTATATATAAATATATAAATATACCAATTATAACTCGTATATCTTTGAATTTGAAACCGAGCAGAACCTGAAATTAATTTTTGCTGATAATCATTTCAAATGTTGTCAATGTGCGTCGACAATTTGACTGTATACCAATTATATATACATTTGTACATTTACATACATCTTTATTCATAAACTTTGAGTAAATTATTTTACAAAGAAATTGCATGTTTCTCAATGTTTTTAGCAAGTTGTCTGTATACAAAACAAATTAAAAAAAAATAAGCAAAATAAGAAAAAAATTGACATTTACCTTATCCAAGCAAGAAAAGTTTTTATACATTTTATGCTATATTTTTTATTAATTATTATACTGATTATTATGATGTTTAAATGTGTAAACAAATTTTTTTGATATAAACAAAATTTTTGTATACCTCTACATATACTTACCATACAATTATATAGCAATAATGTTGTGCCCCCACTTTATATTAAAACCTTAACTACAATATATTTTTAGTTTCTTTATAATTTTCTATTCCGTTACTCTACAACTAAAAATTCTAAAACTAACCACCAATAGAAAAGTGCGGGTAGTGGGAGCTTTAGCACCGATTTAGATCTGATCAATATAAAATGCCCATTTACTAGTAAACAGAACGGGTGTTTCGGTTCCCCCTCCCCACACTTTTACCCGTTAATTATGTAATATTACTTTCGTAATTATGATTTTTAAAACATATTTATATACGATTATTGTAATACCGAATTTTCCGATGTTTCGCCTCACAAAAACGAAAAAAAGCAAACTAAACGAACCCAAAACATAAGAAAAAGAAACCCCAATGAGAGTTTAACTCAAAACACAGCTACCAACCACCCAAAAGCGAATATCCAAAAACGATCGCAAGCCGCGCCTTTGTCTTGTCCAAGCTTCTCGCAAGCGGTTAACCGATTGCCCGGCTAGTCCGGTAACCGATACCACCGGTGTCCGAGGGTCTTGGTGAGATCAACACCAGTAGAGCCACTAAATATCCATCTACTATCCACCGACATCCAAGCCAAACAAGCGAGAGTGCAAGCAAACAACCAAGCGACCAAGAGCAATCGAGCGATCCGCCAAGCAAAACCGCACCAACAGTGTTATCTTTCACTTAACTGTAACGTTTTTCATTTTTTTACGTAAATCTTTCCTTTTTCTATTACATTTAAAGCGTATATATTTACAAGTAATTTAGCGTAATTAATATTTGTTTTTAGTAAAATGCATTGAAAAACTCTACAAAAAAAAAAGATAATGATAATGAAACCACTAAAGTAATTTTAAAATGAATGAAATAATATATTGTCAAACCACTTCTGAGACAATTTTTAAGCTACAAACCAGTTTTCTTGTTTTTAACAACAGCTACAACAACAACAACAATGAACACGAAGAGTAATTATTATAATCATTATATTAACTCAAGTATAAAGTAAAATTTGTTGACTATTTGCATTTGTTTTTGTTTTTCGCAAAACGTTTTCTATGACACACAAGAATATAATATTCGCGTCAAACTCCGCATCCTCATCCCCCCTTTCCCCTAGACCCTCTTAATCCCCGAAGATCCTTTGAAAGGAATTAAAGAAAAAAAATACAAAAAAAAAACAATTTTATTACTTTTTGCTGAGGTGAGACATTCAAAATACACACACACAAGAGCAGCAAATGAATTCACAAATTTTTTGGCAAACCTTACAAAATTGCTTAACGAAAATTTTCAATCAAACATTTTAAAATAATTAATTTGAAATTGAAATGCTGAAATTGTTGTGTGGAAAATGAGGTAAAAATTAAAAAACATAAATGCATAACGAGTGCTGTAAAATGAGAAATCGAATGAAATGAATTGAGAAATCCATTGCGATACATTGTGAAACATGTTAATAAGTCGAGTCGCGTCAAGTCGACAACTAACCAAAATCTGAGACAACAACCAGAGTTATATTAATTATATAACCGAGCTAAGCAACAACCAATCGAACCGCATGATGTATGTGTGAGCGCCGCCTTGCGCCTGTTTCCTCGCCATTTGCAAAAGGAGAGCGAGCGAAAATTGTTTTTAAATTTTTATTGTGTACCAGCAACCAACAACTACAACAACAACCAACAACCAAATGTTAAAGCAACAAAAACCTATTGTACTTTTGAGCTACAGCAATTAACGGAGAAACATTTTAACCATCTTATAATCAAAATCCACAAACGAGAAATGAGCAAATAAAAGAAAAACGAAAAAAAAAAACAAAAAAACCAGACAACAATTTTGTGTGTATTTCAGTTTCCGCCCACAACCTCCCCTTGATCTCTCCCCACACCACCCACAATCTCCTCCGGATCCGGAGTAGGTGATTCCTTTCCAGCTCTCTCGGTATGTGCCATTTGAATTGTCTCCCCTCGGCGCGACGGCGTTCCAGTTAAGCAGAACAAGATTTGACCAAACCAAACGTAAAAAAGTGAAACTCCGCACTCCCTTTTCCAAATAAGAAAATCCATAGCCAGTTCTAATTAATCACATATGTTGCCAACAAGCCATTAACAGAAGTACTTTAAAGGAAAAACAACGTTTTAATCATGGTTTATTTTATAACAAAATATTTAATATATTTGTGGGTCATTTTGTTTTTATTAAAAATAGTAATTTCAAAAGACTTGCCTTTAAAATTTCTTTTTTTTTTTATTGTGAAATAATAACGAAATGGTAACAAAGATAGGTGCACTGTTACCTAACTGGGCAACTTAAACAAATCAGAAATAATAAACAGAAAAATTATTTATGTCAGCAGCACATAATAAATATAAATTAAAATCTTGAAATAGCTAAATATTACTTTAAAAAATTTCCAATATCCTACACTCATTAAGAGCCGAGCCCTTCATAGTAAGCTAAAATTAGGGATAAACTGCAAAAGTCCATTAAACCTACATTTAGTTTATTATGTGACGGTCAAAAGGACCTTTTTCAAAACAAAAAAAGTTAAAAATTTGTTTGTATCTATTTGTTGATCGGAAATAACTCAAAAAGTTAGTGTTTTTTTTTTTTTTTTTTTAATAAAAAACCTTTACTAAAACAATTTATTTTTTTAAGTAGGTATTTCTCAGCAAATTGGCAACATACAGTAGCTCTTTGACCCTTATTTTTGTTCGTGCCCTGCTACACCTTTTTATAAGATAAGCTTTGTTTGTGTTTTCATCAATTTTCTATACGACCCAATCCACGAAATCAACGACACTTTTGTGCGGTTGAACCACGAAATGCCATTGCAACCAAAAGACGGCTACGGCTACGGCGGCGGCTTTGAGGGTAACGGCTACGGCGGCGGCGGTGGTGGCAATATGGGCGGTGGCCGCGGTGGACCCCGCGGCGGCGGCGGCCCCAAAGGTATTAACTCAAAAAAGCGCCAAGCAAACTATCTTACCAACGACTTGTTGGACCCTCATCCTCTATTCTATATAGTCTAATCGAAATGATTTTTTATTTTTGTAAAGCAGCAGTTCCATCGTTTTTTGGTTAACCTCCATTGGCTTTTCATGACTTATGTTTGTTTTATTTTG